AGGGCCTTACACTGTTCTTCTTCCAAACCCCCTGGCAATAAAAGTTACAGGAATTGACTCTTGGATACCTCACACTCGAGTCAAAGTCTGGAAAGCTGAGGGAGCAACTCCTGACAGCCCAGAGGAACGACCTGAAGATCAATGCGAAGAAATAGGAAACCTTAAGCTGAAAATCACAAAAAATGAGGAACAGAGTATAACTACTCACCTTACTCAGTCTCACCTCTACCTCATGAAATACTTGTTGCCATTTCTACCTCTCCTTTTAAGCCAAATATGACTATATACTATAGCACCCTCAGGGTTGAATATTAAACAAAGAATCTCAATTACTATAGCAGTTTGCTTAATTACTAAGAGCTGGAATAACGGTTGTTAACCAGCAGTAAGCATGAGCATTTTACTAAGTCTGTTAGGATTTTTTATTGGACTTAGCAATACATCATACCCTTAGCTCCTGTAATATCTGCTATGGCCCATTTCTACAACAAGACTAATTGTTGGGTCTGTCCTGAGCAGATCACTCAGTTCAACGGCACTGGGAAAGCTTACGATGACTCAGAACTCACCACCTTAGGGTTCCCTTTGTTGGCTTTACCTTTAACCCTTAAAGACATATCAGGCATAAATGAACATGGTATGGGAGCACTTTCAACTGGGTGACTAACTCCTCTCAGGAAAAAATTCTGCCCCCAGTGCCAAAGAACACTCTCCCCAAAGACAAACTTCACACCCTCAGGCTGGGAAAAGTGGACCAAGTAATAGCAAATGCCTTCCGCAGCTTTAGAAGTAAGGGGGAAGGACCATACTTGGGACATCTCAAATACTGTAACATCGCATTTGTAATTGCTGAAAGTTGAAATATTTGGGGAGAATGCAACAAGGGTAATCTACAAGAATCAGAAGCCCTAGTACAGGGGGCTTTCAGAATCTAGCCTCTCCCATTGGTTGGAAGTCCTGATGGGAATGACATGTTCTAAATAACCACTTTGACTACAATGTAAAGAATAACACACGGGCCTTTCCAAACATGCCACCTCATGGAACTCCAGACCCTTGTATGATGTTTGCTAATAGTAGCAGTTTACAAATCTGTGAGTGAATTGGAGACATCAGGACTGACAGCCTTTGCCATAATGATCATCTGAGATATTGGCCAGGGCATATTATTTCTCTAATTTTTTAAAACTCCATTTGTCAGGTGGACTCTTTTCATTTAGCCTGTCAAATTCCAAATGGCGTCGTAAGTGACTACCTAAATATGGTTATCCTTATCCCAAGGATGTCCCTATTATATGTAAAGAAGGAAAATTTCTAAGATATGAGAATAATTTGCCAGTGTCTCTCACAAGCCACAACTTAGAACTGTCTTTTCAAGGAGCAGGGCTATATTTTCTGTGTGGCTCTTGGATACACTTAATCCTCCCAAGAAAGTGGAAGGGAATTTATAGTGTAGTTGCAGTAGTTCCTGACTTATTATTATTGTAATTTTTTTTGAGATGGAGTCTTGCTCTGTCTCCCAGGCTAGAGTGAAGTTGTGCAATCTCTGCTCACTACGACCTCTGCCTCCTGGGTTCAAGTGATTCTCCTGCTTCAGCCTCCTGAGTACCTGGGATTACAGGCACTCACCACGACACCCAGCTAATTTTTGTATTTTTAATAGAGATGGGGTTTCACCATGTTGGTCAGACTGGTCTCAAACTCCTGACCTCAAGTGATCTGCCTGCCTTGGCTTCCCAAAGTGCTGGGGTTACTAGGTGTGAGCCACCACACTTGGCCTCCTGATTTATTTTTTTTTAATTCCACTGAGATGGCAGCATCATCTGGGGATATCGCTACCTTAGGCTTCTTTTCTAGAAACTGCACTATCTCAGTACATCAGACAAAGAGATACATCATTTCTATGCCCTCATATGGAGATTTAACTGAAAGGGCAGACTGGGGAGGGCATGCACATGACAATCCCAACTTAGAAAAATCATGGATGGGAAATTCTATAGCTAGAAATCTATTCTGGTTTGCGGGCATCCCTCTCCTTGAAAGATCAATACTTAATATCTCTATTATGATGAAACAAGAATGGAATGCAACTGTAAGGGCCACAGAGGCACAACAGCAATCTGTAGACTCTTAGCCTCAGGAGTAGCACAAAATAGGTAAGCCTTAGATGTCCTTAAGGCTGAAGTAGGAGTTGCCTGTGCATTTTCTTCCTCCCTCGCTCCCTTTCTCTCTCCTTCCCTCCCTGCTCCTTCCCTTTCTTCCTTCCTTTCTTTCTTTCCTCTCTCTCTCTGTCTCTCTCTCTCTCTTCTCTCTCTCTTTCTCTTTCTCTCTTACTTTCTTTTCTATGTCACTCAGGCTGGAGTGCTATGGTGCAATCTTGACTCACTGCAACCTCCACCTCCCAGGTTCAAGCGATTCTCCTGCCTCAGCCTCCTGAGTAGCTGGGAATACAGGCATGCACCACCAAGCTCAGCTAACTTTTGTATTTTTAGTAGAGATGGGGTTTCACCATGTTGGTCAGGCTAGTCTCGACCTCCTGACCTCGTGATCTGTCTTCCTTGGCCTCCTAAAGCACTAGGATTACAGGCATGAGCCACTGTGCCTGGCCTCTTTTTTTAAAAAAATTATTTATTTATTTATTTATTTTTTAGAATGAGTTTCACTCTTGTTGCCCAAGCTGGAGTACAAATGGCAATATCTAGGCTCACTGCAACCTCTGCCATCCAGGTTCAAGTGCTTCTCCTGCCTCAGCCACCCAAGTAGGTGGAATTACAGGTGCGCGCCACCACACCTGGCTAATTTTTTGTATTTTTAGTAGAAACAGGGTTTCACCATGTTAGCCAGGCTGGTCTTGAACTCCTGACCTCAGGTGATCCTCCCACCTCAGCCTCCCAAGGTGCTAGGATTACAGGCATGAGCCACCGTGCCGGCTGTACCTATGCACTTTTAAGTGAAACATGTTTCTTCTGGATTAACACCTCTAGTAAAGAAGAGGAAAATCTACAGGTACTTAAAGATCAAATTAAAATTATTGACAGGCTCAGGGAAAATGCCAGCTTCAGCCCCTGGTGGCTACAATCCTTTAATGAATTCCAGTCTTCTTTATGGAATTGGGTAAACCCTTTATTAAGCCCTTTCTTATTTATATGTCTTGTATTAATACTTGGATCCTGTATACTCAAGACTGTAACTCCAATTGTTTCTTCTCACCTAGAAGCAATCAAACTCCAAATGGTACTGCAAACTGAACAACGCATAGACACACTTTCTCCTGAGAACCCTTAGATTGACCCCAGGAGAAGCTCTAGCTGCTGTTCCCTATTTGTATTAATATAATTTTGCATTCCCATCAGAAATGTATCTCTTTAATTTGCATTTCTTTAATTAACATTATTCATTGCTGGGCATGGTAGCTCACACCTGTAATCCCCGCACTTTGGGAGGCTGAGGTGGGTGAATCACTTGAGGTTAGGAGTTTGAGACCAGCCTCACCAACATGGTGAAACCCCATCTCTACTAAAATAGAAAAAATTAGCCAGGTGTGGTGGCAGGCGCCTGTAGTCCCAGCTACTCTGGAGGCTGAGGCAGGAGGATCGCTTTACCCCAGGAGATGGAGGTTGCAGAGCTGAGATCGCACCACTGTACTCTAGACTGGGCGACAGAGTGAGACTCCATCTCAAAAAAAGCCAAAAACCAAAACACAATATTCATTCATTCATTCATTCAACAAACATTTATTTGCACGTTATGTACCAGGCTGTCAGAGGCATTAGGGATACAGCTTTAAACAAAACAACATGGATTATCCTGGAGCACACATTCTAGTAACAATAAATAAACAGAAACAGATTCGTAAAGAGCATGTTAGATTGTAAAAAGTCCTCTGGAGAAAAAGCTATATGGAGAAACATGAAAGGCATGGAGGGCCTCACTGACAGGGCATCGGAGGCCAAAGCACTTGGAGAGGGTGAAGGGGAGCCACGCGAATAGCTGGAGGAAGAAGTCTCCCAACCGCGGCGACTGAAAAGACCCAAGGCAGGAGCGTGTCGGCAGCGTTCAGGGAACAGCAAACTGTCCAGCGTCGTTTCCCGGGAATAAGATGGGGCAGGAGAGGGTCTTGTCAGGCCTCGTCAGCCATTATGACAGCTGTGGCTTTTCGTCAGATGTGAAGTTATTGGAGATGATAAGATTATAAAATGCCATACAAGACAGTGACAGGCGTGCCCAGAAGAGTGTCTGCGGAATCCACGTGCATGACGGAATGTTCGTTCTGGCCGCGCGCGGTGGCTCGCGCGTCATCCCGGCTCCTCGAGCTCCGGGAGGCCGAGGCGGGAGGAGTTCGAACTCCTCGAGCTCAGGGGTTCAAGAGCGACCTGAGCAACATAGGGAGACCACCTCCCCCCACCGCCATCTCTACAAAAAAATAAGAGAACAAAGTTAGCCGGGCGTGATGGCGCGGGCCTGTGGTCCCAGGTGGTCGGGAGGCTGAGACAGGAGAACCGCTGGAGCCGGGGAGGTGGAGGTTGCAGTGAGCCGAGACAGCCACCGCCCGCCAGCTTGGGCGGCAGAGCGAGACCCCGTCTCAAAACAGAAAACAACACGAAACGAAATGTGAGTTCTTAGCATCGGAAACCCACAGTCGAGGCCAAAAGTTCTTTCGCGAAGACGAGACTGACAGGAAAGCCGAAGGGGTCCGCCCAAAAAGGTGGGGAGACGATCCCGCCGTGGGCGCCCCCTGGTGGATAAAAGGGCCGCTCGGAGAGCCGCTCTGCTCTTGAGACGGACACAAACGGCACAAAAGTCTATTCTGCCGCTGTTCTGAGCGACAGGCTTCCGCAAGAATCTCCAGAGGCGGACCAGGATTTTCAAAAAGGCCGCGCCGGGGGCGGGACGAATAGGGACCGCACCTCAGCGCCGCGGCCCTGCGCCCACCCACCGGCCGGAAGAAGCTGCCCGGAAACGAGGCGCGGCGCCGGCGAGATGACGCAACAGGGGTCGCGCCGAGGGTGACGCGTGGCGTAAACTACACTGACGACCTGCGCCTGTCACCACCCCCCGGGGTTAGTAGCAGAGGAGGAGCGGGCGCCATGGCGGTTCTCCTGGAGACCACTTTGGGCGACGTCGTCATCGACTTGTACACCGAGGAGCGGCCGCGTGGTGAGGCTTGAGCCCCGCTTACCTGTCGCCGGGGCCCCCGAGCTTGTTCCCCCACTTTCCGTTTTCTGCGCAGTCCAGGCTATAGATTGGTTGGAGCTCGAACTTCTGGGCTGTTGGTGTCTGCGGCTGGGCTATTTTATTAACCTGCCTTGGTTATAAAAGTTTTTGTGACGAATTCGTTTGAGCCTTGGCAGGCTTTCTCCTGTGTCTTGTGTTGGCCAGTCCGGTGGAGAGTGCTTGCGGTCATTAATTGCCTTTGGGAGTGTGTGTGTCGGGGGCGGGGGGCTGTGAGTGTGATTCGAGCTGTACATACAATACCCATAGCTTTTGTGCCTTTACTGTGTTTACTTGGGAGAGGAACACAGCAACTACTGCTTGATGCGTAGTCGGTTAAATCTTGATGAAGGCAGGTAGGGTGTGCTTGGCGCAGCGAGTGTGGGCATCCCGCCTGGATGGAAGAAGAGGTTGTCCGGAGTGTGAACTTGAGCCTTTGATGCACTGAGCTAAGTCCTGGGCTTGGCTTCTTGCCTCTGAGGGTCTGATTTTCCATTTGGGGAAATTGACATAGGAACCCATTTTAGTTTTCTACGTGTTTTGGTAGAAGAATGTGTAAGTTGCCATGGAAACCAGAAGAGGGCGTCTTCTCGGGGCGCGGCGGGTGGGGAGAAGCAAAGCTTGCAAGTAGAACACTTGAAGTAGTTCTTTCAAAGATGAATGGGAATGAGGGTTTTCTTAGCTTACACTTTCTTTGCTTGGAATTTTCTGGAAACGGCAAATAATTTGGTGTGACTGGAAGGACTGGTATGAGTTGTGGAAAGGCAGACTCGAGTCTGGTTAGATACGCTTCGGTCAGGTCGTGAATAGTCTTGTGTGTCCTACTGATGATCAGAGTCTTTGAAGACTTTAAAAGCAGTATTGAGGTGTGGCATACTTGTTTTGAGAAGATAATAGGCAGCAGTGTGGAGAATGTATCAGGTCAGGAAGAAACTGGAGACCAGGAGAGATGAGTTACAGACAGGGTCCTACCCACATGGAATGCAGAGCCTATCAAAGAAGATGAAATAAGTTGCAATATTGTACAATAACTACTTTCTGCCATGCTCCATTCCCGCCACTCCCCCTGCACGCAGCAATTCCTCCCTCCTCTCCGTCCGGCAAAAACACTACAAACTCTCCCGTGCCATTTTTACCATTCTCTTGCTGTTCCTTCTAAACAATATTCCTCTCCGCTTTTGTCCTTCTGGCAAACCAATTGCTTATCTAAATCTCAGATCAAGCATCATCTCTTCTTTGAAGCCCTCCCTCCTTTCTTTTTTTTTTTTAAGGCAAAAACACATGTAATTTTATTTTTGTTTAATCTTAAGCTTGCCAACTTCTTTCCCTGAACAGCATTTGTCTTATTTTTATACCCACGTACACTTATATTAGAAACGTACTGCAAACTACTTAGTTATTCCACTTTGAATTTATAGTCCTATGACTAAGATGTTTTGAAGCCTATCCATATGCCAGATATAAATGTCAGGAACTGTTAATGTCTGTTCTTTTAGAGAAATTTTACCTCTATCCTGATGTAATTAGGTTGATTAAGGAATTTAAAGGCTATGTGCCAGAAAACTAACTTCCACAAATGCAACAAAATGAAGTTTTTCCAAGTACCACTATGCAATGGGAAATCTTTCTTTCAAGTACCAAGTCAGTTTCTTCAACTGTACAATGTATTCTAATTTAGTTTTTAAATATAATACATAACAACAAAATGTAATAAAATTAAGACTATAAGAAAACAGAGTAAATGGTATAATTCAAATAATGAGTAAAATAAAATGGCATTATGGATTTTGTAATCAATATATAACTATATATTTAAATTTTACCTTACATCCATAAGATCACAGTTAAGGAGGTTAACCATAATTTCAAATTCTATTAACAGCCACTGTGCTATTTTATCACATTTAAAAATATCACTCTTATTTTTTACCTCAAACAGTGATCTATAAATTTGTTTAGAACATAATAATTAAGGACTTTTTCTTTTCTTCTTCGGGATAATTTTAAAAATTGAATGGTGTATTGAACATATTACTAAAGAAACTTTACTTTTTGATTATGGCCTCTACATTGAAGATCTGTAGGAATTAATTCTAATTAATTCTCAAATCTTCCCATGACCTCTCTGTTCATGGAAATATTATCTTTGAAATAATTTGTGTGACTACAAATAAAAAATGGATTCACCTGACTGAATTATCATAATCACTAATTTTAACAGTCTCCTAGATATTTTCTATATTAGTTTTCTTGATTATGTCAGTAATGTGAACACGCTCTTAACAGAACAGAACATTTCATTACATCAGTTCCCATCAACCCACCAAAATCACTTAATAATTATATTGGGCCATTTCCGCTGATCAGCAGGAGGCTCTTCCACCACTGGCTCCCATGTTTTCCACTGCACCATTTTTCTTGCTAGACTTAGTTCATGTTCAGCCTTGAAGAATCACTTCTTCTGATTGACCACCTTGAAGTTGGTCTTCTAATTCTTGAACATCTGGTTCTGCTTTAACCATAGCTAGCTTCTCATTTATAATCTGTTCTGTGGGCCGGGCGCGGTGGCTCAAGCCTGTAATCCCAGCACTTTGGGAGGCCGAGGCGGGTGGATCACGAGGTCGAGAGATTGAGACCAACCTGGTCAATATGGTGAAACCCCGTCTCTACTAAAAATGCAAAAAATTAGCTGGGCATGGTGGTGCGTGCCTATAATCCCAGCTACTCAGGAGGCTGAGGCAGGAGAATTGCCTGAACCCAGGAGGCGGAGGTTGCGGTGAGCCAAGATCGCGCCATTGCACTCCAGCCTGGGTAACAAGAGCGAAACTCCGTCTCAAAAAAATAAAATAAAATAAAATAAAATAAAATATATAATCTGTTCTGTATATTTTCTATATGCTGCATTTTTAGAGATATCCTCAAGAACTTCAAGAATCTTTGTGTACATTATTCTTAGCCTCTCGTGTGGAGTATTGTACACAGCTAATCCCACAAGGCCAGTGGTGGTCTTTAGCACACCCGCCGTGACAGTGCAGATGAATCGATGTCGCACAGCCCTCTGGGAACAACCCCGCTCTCCCTCCTTTCTAAGCAGTTATCTGAGGTTCTTCTGCTCTGTCTTCTGCTCTATGACACATTTTATTATGATATTTGCCTATTTTTGTGGAGCTGATTACAAGTCTTCCTCTTTCAAGAATGTAAACTCCAGTGAGAGGAGGAACTGTACCACAATTATCATCTCTATATCCTGAATACCTAGTACAATACTTGCTACTTTTAGGGCACACACTAGAGGTTCATTATATTGACTACTGGATATAAATGTGTTGTATTAGGACCTTTTGTGCAAGTAATAGAAACCCAACTCAAACTGGTTTAAACAAAGAAAATAATTTGTTGCCTCATAATACTAGGGTAAGCTTGGTTTTAAAGGTGGCTGGATACAGGGTTTCAAAGGATAGGGAATTTTGTTTTTTATCTCTTGATTTTACTTTTCATTGAGTTTCTTTTTTTTTTTTTTTTTTTTTTTTTTGAGACCGAGTTTCGCTCTTGTTACCCAGGCTGGAGTGCAATGGCGCGATCTCGGCTCACCGCAACCTCCGCCTCCTGGGTTCAGGCAATTCTCCTGCCTCCGCCTCCTTCATTGAGTTTCTTTGACACTTTGCTTATGTAGAGGAGCATCTGGCAAAATGAATGGGCCTCTTTCCCCAGAGTTGTGAGGAAATAAGTTAACAAGCAGTGGTTCTGCAAAGATAAGCCCATAACACCAAAACCTAAGTCCGCCCCCTATACATATTTGAAAGCATATGAGATCTGCTTACATGCCTACCTATTATGTTTATACCTTCTTATCAATCTATGATCAACATATCCAGACCTAACCTACCTTCCTTCTTCCCCTTCTTTCTTCCTTTTCTTTTTAAACTTTTTATTAGAGAAAATTTAAAACACAGATGTGGAGAGAATCATGTAAAGGAACTCTCATGTCCACATGACCAGCTTTGTTTAACAGCTTTGAACACATAGTCATTAAATACCCCCACCTCCAGTGTACCTATTTAATCTGTAATTACTTCAGTATGTATTTGTAAAAGATAAGGACTCTTTGGAAAAAACAAAAAACAAAAAAAAACACCAAAACTATGAGCTTAAGGGTCACATAAGTGACGGTTAAAAAAAGAAAGAAAATTTGACAGGGAAAAGGGAAAAATACTAAAGAAAAAAGAAAAAGTTGTAAAAAAGGAAAAGAAAAACAGAACCACAAATTTTATCATACTTTGAAAAAACTAGCAGTAATTTCTTAGTATCATTAAACTTTCCTGTTATCTCATAAATTTTAAGAAAATCTGGTAATTTAAATTAGGACCCAAAGTCCATATGTTATATTGATTAAAATGTCTCTTATATATATTTTAATCTATTGGTTCTCCCCCTTTTTTTTCTTGAAAAAAATTTGAGAAAGAATGTGGGTCCTTTGTCTTGTAGACTTTCTCTTGTTTTGAATTTGACTGATTATTTACTGCGTCCATTAACATATTCCTTTATGTCCTCTATTTCCTATAAGAAGTTCTTCAGCTTTAAAACCTTGATCAGATTCAGATCAAATGTTTTTGGCAAGAATATTTCGTACAAGATAGTGTGTACTTTCAGCTGCATTACATTCAGGAGGCACTTGATGTCTGGTTGGCTCTTTTGGTGATCTTAAAATTGGTCAGTGCATTATGGCCTTGTTGCCCTATCTTTTTTTTTTTTTTGAGATGGAGTCTCACTCTGTTGCCAGGCTGGAGTACAGTCACTCACTGCAACCTCTGACTCCCTGGTTTAAGTGATTCCCCTGTTTTAGTCTCCTGAGTAGCTGGGATTACAGGCACGCACCACCATGCCCGGCTAATTTTTGTATTTTTAGGAGAGATGGGGTTTCACCATGTTGGCCAGGCTGGTCTCGGTCTTCTGACCTCATGATCTGCCCACCTTGGCCTCCCAAAGTGCTGGGATTATAGGCATGAGCCCCCACTCCTGGCGGCCTTGTTACCCTTATAATCATTAGATTTTGATGAAAGACTTATTTGGCAGCCATTGATGATCATTGCCTAAATCCATTATTTTTGTTTTCTAGTAAAAGGACCACTCCTGTTTAACAGGAAGCCCAGAAATATATTAAGAAAAACAACTGCAGGACTGATATTCAACACTCTTGAACAGCTAGCCCCATCTTATCTCTCCAGCCTTTTCATCCTCTATTACTGTGTAATACCAGACTATTACAGACCCTTAGAACATTTAAATTCCCACTTCCAGGCCTTTTCATAGTCTTCCAAACTTAAAATGGTCACCCTTCACTCTCTGCTAGTGTAGTTCTTTTAATGTTTGCCTTAACCTTCCCTGAGGTGTTCTGATTTCCCTAGCCAGAAACAATCTTTTGAACTCTTGAGGAATTTAAAAAACTACTTTTTACCATTTTACTATTTAAGTGGCACACATGTTATTAATTAGATATGCTCAGTATGTAATTTGAACACTTCTTGTGTTCAAATGTAAGGACCCTAATTTAATGTAAGCTTTTTGAGGGCAGGGACTGCCTCATATATCTTACTGTCTGTATGGTTTCTTACTTAGTGCCTTTACGAACTTGTTAACGTGTCTTTCTATGACTAGACTGTGAACTTTTGGAAACAGGGACCATGGTTTACTGCCGTTTGTGATGGCAGTCTCAAGCCATCTAGAAGGTACTTGGTAAATGTTTGTTGGATAAGCAGGGTTAATTTACATGAAAAAGGTTGTTTGTGATAAATGTATGGATTTTTATTTTTATTTTTAAAAATGTTTATTTATTTATTTTGAGACAGAGTCTCTCCCTGTCTCCCAAGCTGGAGTGCAGTGGTGCGATCTCTGCTCACTACAATTTATGCCTCCTGGGTTCAAGCAATTCTGCTGCCTTAGCTTCCTGAGTAGCTGGGATTACAGGTGCCCACCACCATGCCCGGCTAATGTTTTGTATCTTTGGTAGGGACTGGGTTTTACCATGTTGACCAGACTGGTCTCGAACACCTGACCTCATGATCCTCCTGCCTTGGCCTCCCAAAGTGCTGGGATTACGGGTGTGAGCTGCTGCACCTGGCCTGTGTATGGCTTTTTATAAAGGACTGTTTATTATTTAAAAACTGACCCTGGATGTTTGACTTTTTCCTAATTGATATAATCTGTATCCATTTTTATATATTATGCTAGATCTATTACTATTACAATATGCTCTTTAAGTGTTCTTTTTTTTTTTTTTTTTTTTGAGTCGGAGTTTCGCTCTTGTTACCCAGGCTGGAGTGCAATGGCGCGATCTCGGCTCACTGCAACCTCTGCCTCCTGGGCTCAGGCAATTCTCCTGCCTTAGCCTCCTGAGTAGCTGGGATTACAGGCACGCACCACCATGCCCAGCTGATTTTTTTGTATTTTTAGTAGAGACGAGGTTTCACCATGTTGACCAGGATGGTCTCGATCTCTCGACCTTGTGATCCACCCGCCTCGGCCTCCCAAAGTGCTGGGATTACAGGCTTGAGCCGCCGCGCCCGGCTAAGTGTTCTTTTTTCTTGTAGTAAAATCAATCTATCGATAAATGATTGCTTATCACAGATAAGTGTCAGTTTTCTTGTATTAGCCAAGGTACCCCAAAAATTCTATGAAAGAAAAAAAAAAGGTAATTTAAAATATGTTGCTTTTTTTCTAGACTTAAAAATAATTGCTCTCTAGAGCAATTATTGATCTTTAATTTAATTTAATTTATTTATTTTTGAGCTGGAGTTTCATTCTTGTTGCCCAGGCTGGAGTGCAATGGCGCAATCTTGGCTTACTGCAACCTCCGCCTTCCAGGTTCAAGTGATTCTCCTGCCTCAGCCTCCCGAGTAGCTGGGATTACAGGCATACACTACCATGCCTGGCTACTTTTGTATTTTTAATAGAGATGGAGTTTCTCTATGTTGGTCAGGCTAGTCTTGAACTCCTGACCTCAGGTGATCTGCCCACCTTGGCCTCCCATAGTGCTGGGATTACAGGCATGAACCACCATGCCCAGCCCTAGTTTATTTTTTTTGAGGTAAGTCTCATACTGTCACCCAGGCTGGAGCACAGTGGTGCTATCTTGGCCCACTGCAACCTCTGCCTCCTGGGATCAAGTGATTCTCCTGCCTCAGCCTCCCGAGTAGCTGGGATTACAGGTGCCTCTCATCACGCCTGGCTAATTTTGTATGTATTTTTAGTTGAGACGGGGTTTCACTGTGTTGGCCAGACTGGTCTTGAACTTCTAATCTTAAGTGATCTGCCCACCTTGGCCTCCCAAAGTGCTGGGATTACAGGTGTGAGCCACTGTGCCAGGCCTGTTGCCCTTTTTTATAGTTTTTGGACATGTGACTTTTTTTTCCCTTGTAATAGTAATTTAGAAATTACATTTTACTTTGCTTTTCCTTATTTAAAAATGTATTTGTGGATTACTGTGATAAATTTTGTACTTTCTTTCTTTCAGCCTGCTTGAATTTCTTGAAATTGTGCAAAATAAAATACTACAATTATTGCCTTATTCACAATGTACAGGTGAGTTGGTAGATAGTAAGTCATTTCCTTTGATATTGGAACTATCTAACAAACTCTGAATTAACAAAGAATCCTGCATATTACAGAGGGATTTTATCATACAAACTGGTGATCCTACAGGGACTGGCCGTGGAGGAGAGTCTATTTTTGGGTAAGTTCTTTTCTTCTTCTTCTTCTTTTTAATCTCTGGAAGTGCAGAACAAGTTCTTTTCTCCTTAAATGAGGAAAAATATAATTGCCCGTGTTTCAATCTACATTTTAAAATATGGTTCAAATTTATATTTTTTTCTTGAAGTTCCCTAAATGTCTAGCAAAAAAGGAGAATATTTTGAATCCTGGTGTCATTTCTGTAAAGAAATAATTGGTAACCCTATATGTTACTAGTGCTTTTGTATTTCATTTTTAGAGTACTTATATTTTATAACCTTATTATATGTTTTTTTCAGCCAACTGTATGGTGATCAAGCAAGCTTTTTCGAGGCAGAAAAAGTCCCAAGAATTAAGCACAAGAAGAAAGGCACAGTGTCCATGGTGAACAATGGCAGTGATCAACATGGATCTCAGGTTAGGAAATGAGTGAGAATATGAGCTTTGCTTAGAAATGAAGGACTAGAAGGAGCCCACAGAGGTATCTTTTAAAACTATCCAGTAAGGCTTAGAAGGTTTCAATCAGAAATATGTGTTAGGGGAAAAAATGCACATTTTTCTATATTAAAAAACATTATTTTTTTCTTTTAAATGTAAGTCATTTCCATTGTGAAGACTTGAGAAAATACAGAAAAGTACAAAGAAAAACATTACCTACAACTCCATTCTCCATGATTATCACTGTTCACATTTGTGGCCCATTTTTCAGTATTTCTTAATTTTTTAAAAACGTTATGCAGAGTACCTTCCATTCCTTACCTTGTTTAATTCTCCCAACAACCCCATTAGAGTAGGTACTTGTATTTTCTGCTATATACACATGAAGTTGAGTCATGTCTTGTCCAAGTATTTTAAACAATCAAGGGGACATCTTTGTATGTGTTGATGTTTTATATACAGACATACCTTGGAGATACTGTGGGTTTGCTTCCAAACCAGCATAATACAGCAAATACCACAGTAAAGCAAGTCACAGGTTTTTTGGTTTCCCAATGCACATAAAAGTTACATTTACACTATATGACAGTCTCTTAAGTGTGCAATAGTATTATGTCTTTTAAAATATATATACCTTAATTTAAAAATACTCTTTTTTTTTTTTTTTTTTTGAGTTGGAGTCTTGTTTTGTTGCCCAGACTGGAGTACAGTGGTGTGGTCATGGCTCATTGCAACCTCTGCCTCCCCGGTTCAAGCAGTTATCCTGCCTCAGGTGCGCACTACCGAACCCGACTAATTTTTGTATTTTCAGTAGAGGCGGTGTTTCACCATGTTAGCCAGGCTGGTCTCAAAATCCTGACCTCCGGTGATCTGCCTGCCTCGACTTCCCAAAGTGCTGGGATTACAGGCATGAGTCACCGTGCCTCGCCAAAAAATACTTTATTTTTTGCTAAAAAGTTCTTCTGATCATCTGAGCCTTCAGTAAATTATAATCTTTTTACTGGTGAAGGGTCTTGCCTTGATGTTGATGGCCATTGACTAATCAGGGTGGTGATTGCTGAAGGTTGGTGTGACTGTGGCAGTTTCTTAAAATAAGACAACATGACCTGGTGCAGTGGCTCACACCTGTAATCCCAGCACTTTGGGAGGCAGAGCTGGGCGGATTGACTGAGGTTGGGAGTTTGAGACCAGTCTGGCTAGCAGGGTGAAACACCGTCTCTACTAAAAATAAAAAAATTAACCAGGCGTGGTTGCAGTCACCTGTAATCCCAGCTACTCGGGAAGCTGATGCAGGAGAATCGCTTGAACCTGGGAGGCGGAGGTTGCAGTGAGCTGAGATCGTGCCATTGCACTCCAACCTGGATAATGGAGTGAGACTTCATCTCAAAAAAAAAAAAGAAAGACAACAGACTGGCTCAGTGGCATACGTCTGTAATCCCAGTACTTTGCGGGGGCCAAGGCAGGCAGATCAGTTGAGTTTAGGATTTCAAGGCCAGCCCGGGCAACATGGTGAAAATCCCATCTCCACACACAAAAAAATACAAAAATTAGCTGGGCATGGTGGTGCATGCCTGTAGTTCCAGCTTCTTGGGAAGCTGAGGTGAGAGGATCACTTGAGCCCAGGAGGTCAAGGATGCAGTGAACTGTGATTGCACCACTGCACTCCAGGCTGGGTGACAGTGAGGCCTTGTTTTGCAAATAAATAAAGACAACAGAAGTTTGCCATGTTGATGGACTTTTCCTTTCATGAAAGATTTCTGTGTATCATAAGATGCTGTTTGAAAGCATTTTACCTACAGTAGAATTCTTTCAATATTGAAGTCAGTCCTCTCAAACCCTGCTACTGCTCTATCAACCAAGTTTATGTAATATCCTAAATCCTTTGTTGTCATTCAACAATGATCATATAGCATCTTCACCAGGAGTAGATTCCATCTCAGGAAACCACTTGGTCAGGCACGATGGCTCGTACCTTACCTGTAATCTCAGCACTTTGGGAGGTTGAGGCAGGTGGATCACCTGACATCAGGAGTTCGAGACCAGCCTGACCAATATGGTGAAACACCATCGCTACTAAAAATACAGCAGTTAGCCAGGTGTGGCGGTACATTGCCTGTAGTCCCAGCTGCTTGGGAGGTGAGACAGGAGAATTGCCTGAACCTGGGAGCCGGAGGTCGCAGTGATCTGACATCGAGCCACTGCACTCCAGCCTGGGTGACACAGCAAGACTCTTTCTCAAAAAGGGGGAAAAAAAACCCACTTTGCTCATTTTTTTTTTTTTTTTGAGACGGAGTTTCGCTCTTGTTACCCAGGCTGGAGTGCAATGGCGCGATCTCGGCTCACCGCAACCTCCGCCTCCTAGGTTCAGGCAATTCTCCTGCCTCAGCCTCCTGAGTAGCTGGGATTACAGGCATGCGCCACCATGCCCAGCTAATTTTTTGTATTTTAGTAGAGATGGGGTTTCACCATGTTGACCTGGATGGTCTCGATCTCTTGACCTCGTGATCCACCCGCCTCGGCCTCCCAAAGTGCTGGGATTACAGGCTTGAGCCACCGCGCCCGGCTCCACTTTGCTCATTTTTAAGAAGCAGCTCCACATCTGTTCGCGTTTTGTTATGAGATTGCAGCATTCAGTCCCATCTTCAGGCTCTACTTCTGATTCTCATTTTCTTGCAATTTCCACCACATTTGCAGTTACTTCCTTCACTGAAGTCTTGTGCCACTCAAAGTCATCCATGAGGGTTGGAATCAACTTCTTCCAAACTTCTGTTAGTGTTGATATTTTGACCTCCTCCCACAAATCACGAATGTTCTTAATGACATCTAGAATAGTGATCTTTTCCAGTAGGTTTTTCAATTTACTTGCATATATCCATCAGAGGAATCACCGTCTATGGCAGCTATAGCCTTACAAAATGTATTTTTAAATTTTTATTATTAGAGATAGGGTCTCACTATGTTGCTCAAGTTGTCCTCCTATCCTAGCCTCCTGAGTAGCTGGTACTACAGGTGCACACTACCATGTCAGGCTGTATTTCTTAAATAATACTTGAAAGTAGAAGTTACTCTTTGATCCATAGCTACAGAATGGATTTTATGTTAGCAGGCATGAAAACAATATATATGTGTGTGTGTGTATGTATATATATATATATATACATATGTATATATATATATATATTTTTTTTTTTTTTTTTTTTGAGACAGAGTCTCACTCTGTCACCCAGGCTGTGATACAGTGGTGCAGTCTCGCCTCACTGCAACCTCTGCCTCCCAGGTTCAAATGATTCTCTTGCCTCAGCTTCCTGATTAGCTGGGATTATAGGCATTCACCACCACACCTGTCTAATTTTTTGTATTTATAGTAGAGATGGGAGTTGCACCATGTTGGCCAGGCTGGTCTTGAATCCCTGGCCTCAAGTGATCTGCCTGCTTCAACCTCCCAAAGTGCTGGGTTTACAGGTGCGAGCCACTGTGCAGAGCTGAATATGATGTTAATTTCCATCATATCCATCAGAGCTCCTAGGTGACCAGGAGTATTGTCAATGAGCAGTGATATTTTAAAAGGATTTCTTTTTTTTTTTTTTTTTTTTTGAGACGGAGTTTTGCTCTTGTTACCCAGGCTGGAGTGCAATGGCACGATCTCGGCTCACCGTAACCTTCGCCTCCTGGGTTCAGGCAATTCTCCTGCCTCAGCCTCCTGAGTAGCTGGGATTACAGGCACACGCCACCATGCCCAGCTGATTTTTTGTATTTTTAGTAGAGACAGGGTTTCACCATGTCCACCAGGATGGTCTCGAACTCTCGACCTCTTGATCCACCCGCCTCGGCCTCCCAAAGTGCTGGGATTACAGGCTTGAGCCACCGCGCCCAGCTAAAAGGATTTCTTATTAAAAGAGCAGTAGTATTAAAAAGGATCTTTGTTCTGAGCAGCAAGTCTCAACAATGATCTTAAAATATTTGATAAACCTTGCTGTAAACAGATACGCTGTCATCCAGGCTGTGTTCCATTTCTAGTGCGCAGGCAGAATAGATTTAGCATGATTTTTAAGGGCCCTAGGATTTTTGAGTATTGGTTTCAACTTAAAGTCACTAGCTGCAGTAGCATATAACAGAAGAGTCAGCTTGTTCTTTGAAGCTTTGAAGCTAGGCATTGACTTTTCCTCTCTAGCTATGAAAGTCCTAAGTGGCATCATCTTTTAATATAAGGCTGTTTCATCTACATGGAAAATTTGTTATTTCATGGAGTCATCTTCATCAGTGGTCTTAGCTAGATCTTCCAGATAACTTGCTGCAGCTTCTATGTCAGCACTTGCTCCTTCACCTTGCACCTTTAAATTATGGAGACAGCTTCTTTCCTTAAAATATTTGTTTGTTTGTGATGGAGTAATCCACTGCACCTGTCTTTTCTTTTAAAACTTAATGAACCAACCTCTGCTAGCTTGAAACTTTCTTTTGCAGCTAACCTCCCCTCTCTCAGTCTTTATAGAATTGAAGATAGTTAGGGCTTGCTTGGAATTAGGCGTTGGCTTAAGGGATCGTTGTGGCTGGTTTGATGGTCTATGTAGATTACTAAAACTTTCTTTGTATCAGCAGTAAGCCTGTTTCATTTTCTTATTATTCATATGTTCACAGGAATAGCACTTCTAAATTTTCTTCAAGAACTTTCCTTTGCATTTACAACTCAGCTATTGTTTCATATAAGAGGCCTAGCTTTCGGCTTATCTCGGCTTTCAACATGCCTTCTTCACTATGTTTAATCATTTTTAGCTTTTGATTTAAAGTGTGAGATGTGCCACTCTTCCTTTTACTTTAACATTTATGAGTCTCTTATAGGGTTAATTGTCCTAATTTCAATATTGTTGTGTCTCGGGGAATAGGGATCACTGAGAGGGAGAAAGACGGGAATGGCTTTTTGGTGTAGTCAGAACACATACAACATTTATAGATTAAGTTCACCATCTTATATGGGCAAGTTTGTGGTGCCCCAAAACAATTACAGTAGTAAGATCAGAGATTACAGATCATAATAACAGATATCATGGTAATGAAAAAGTTTGAAATCTTGTGAGAATTACCAAAATGTGAGCCAGAAACATGAAATGAGCATATGCTTTTGGCAAAGTGGCACCGATAATAGACTTAATACATGGTTGCTGGAAATCTTTACTTGTAAAAAATGTACTATCTGTAAACCACAATAAAATGAGGTATGCCTACATAAGCTTTGTACTTTTTACTTAGTTCTAGTAACAAGTTTGTAAAGATTCATGCAGTAAATGTGGACTCTTACTTTTTTGTATTTTTTTTTTGTCAGTCTGACACTGATTTCAGTTTGAGTTAGGTAATTTTTTTTTTTTTTTTTTTTTTTGGTATTTATTATGTGTCTTTCTGTATAGTTTCTCATCACTACAGGAGAAAATCTAGATTACCTTGATGGTGTCCATACAGTGTTTGGTGAGGTTACAGAAGGAATGGATATAATTAAGAAAATTAATGAGACCTTTGTTGACAAAGACTTTGTACCGTATCAGGATATCAGGTGTGGTTACAATTTACTATCTGAATATACTAGAATGTTTTCATATTGAGATGTTTGACACATAGTAGTATGGATAGGAATAGTATGCATAGGACTGGTTTCTGGATAATTCTAATTCCAAAAGGTGAATTAATATAAGACTATAAGAATCTTTCTTTTTTTTTTTTTTTTTTTTTTTTTGAGACAGAGTTTCGCTCTTGTTACCCAGGCTGGAGTGCAATGGCGCGATCTCGGCTCATCGCAACCTCTGCCTCCTGGGTTCAGGCAATTCTCCTGCCTCAGCCTCCTGAGTAGCTGGGATTACAGGCACGAGCCACCATGCCCAGCTAATTTTTTGTGTTTTTAGTAGAGACGAGGTTTCACCATGTTGACCAGGATGGTCTCGATCTCTCGACCTCGTGATCCACCCGCCTCGGCCTCCCAAAGTGCTGGGATTACAGGCTTGAGCCACCGCGCCCGGCTGACTATAAGAATCTTTATAATAAAAAGTATCTTGTATTTTTATACTTCTACTAATTAATTATTAATAATTACTTATGTTTGGAGGAATTGTTAATGCTTTTAGTTTTTTAATTGAGAAATGGGGCTAAACTACTAAGATTTAGACAGTTATTATTAGTTTACATCTTAAAGTAATGCAGGATAATAAATATGGTATCACTCAATGCAGAACAGTAACACTCATGTGAAAGCATATCGAAGTTAGTGATATCCATGTGCAATACTGGTTTTTTTGGCATTAGAGATAAGTAATTTGTTGTAATCTAATAAAATATGGATTCTGAAATAACTTAAATGTAACATTTGACTTGGATTTATTTTGTAAGGATAAATCATACGGTGATTTTAGATGATCCATTTGATGACCCTCCTGATTTATTAATCCCTGATCGATCACCAGAACCTACAAGGGAACAATTAGATGTAAGTAAAGCCCCCTTGTCATTAAATGTACATTCATATTAATGGTTTGTATGGATTTATCTTTTTCATCTATTAATTTCTTCAGAATTATTATTTTGCTTAATTATACTAGAACAAGTTTAGAGTTCTTTTTCTTTTCTACAGAGATACTAATTTTTCTAGCTATCTTCTCATTTCCCTAATTTCCTTTCTTCAGTTTATTTTCTACTGGGACAACCTCGGTTCTAGCTTACATGAACACCTTAGGAAGTGTTTTTCTTGTCATCTAACTCGTTTAGGAGTTTTTGAGGCCAAATTAAACTATCATCTTGTGAGGTAACTTTTCAACTGGGGATACTTTGGAGCCATGCTAGAACCCAGAGATCTCTGTGGAACAGCACAGACTTTTCCCCCACATATTTTACGGTATAAATTTCTGTGAGGCTTCCTCAAAGCTGAATTTGTCTTTATGTTTGGGATTGGTGCTTAATTCTAAGATTATTTCTCTTCAATCAGCAGTTAGAATTGGGTAATAGTGTCCATAAAAATATTTATTTTTATTTATTTATTTATTTTTGAGACAGTCACAGCTCTGTTGCCCAGGATGGAGTACAGTGGCTCACTGCTACCTCGGCCTCCCTTGTTCAAGTGATTCTCGTGTGCCTTAGCCTCCTGAGTAGCTGGGATTATAGGCGTGTGCCACCATGCCTGGCTAATTTTTGTATTTTTAGTAGGGACAGAATTTCACCATATTGGCCAGGCTTGTCTCGAACTCCTGACTTAAGTGATCCACCTGCCTCAGCCACCCAAAGTGCTGGGATTATGGGCATGAGCCACTGGTCCTGGCCTATTTTGATTTTAACAGAAGCTGAGTTTGGCTAATACTTTAGAATTAATTTAAATCAATTTTGGAGGTTTATAAGTTTGTCTCAGTTGCTGTTTAATTATTAAAATTGTTTTTTAAGAGATAGGATCTCATGACCCAGGCTGGAGTGCAGTGGTGTGATTGTAGCTCACTGTAGTCTTGATCAGTTGCTGTTTTAGCATATTTGATATAACTAAGAATAAAGTATGTCTTCTGTGTTTCTCAGATTTTTTTAAAAATTTTTTAAATATATACATCAGTAACTTCTGCCTTACAGAGTGGTCGAATAGGAGCAGATGAAGAAATTGATGATTTCAAAGGACGATCAGCTGAGGAAGTAGAAGAAATAAAGGCAGAAAAAGAGGCTAAAACTCAGGCTATACTTTTAGAGATGGTAAGATAATTATCTTTGTTCAAATAATTGTTCTGTAATATATTTAATAATACTAATTGAGTGTTTATTTCTGGCTCTTTGGTAGTCTTAAAATATTAAAAATTTAGTTATGATTTTTTTCTGGCTTAAATTAGGTGTGGCATAATAATGCAGATGAAAATAAATTTGGCTGTACTGTCAATATAGTGCTAAGTGCCTTTTTAAACAATGGGAAGTGGATCTCTAACTTATTAATTGAATTTTAGTTGTTTCATATTCATCTCATTTTTAAAGAGTGTTTAGTGGGCTGAATTTTATGTATATTAAAGAATAGCTCTTCATTGTACCACTCAAGTGTTAAGATTAAACAGAATGGTAGTTGTAGGGGAAAATAATGAGTGGAAACTGAGCACTCTAAAATACGTTCTCTGTATAACTAACAACATGAAGTCATTTGAGGAACAATAATTCAGTAGATGATTAATTGACCTACTTGGTATTACTTTCCATTTCTTATTATTCTCATCCATTTCTTATTATTCTTCCATTTTTGTAGAATGGACATACCTGTCATATCATAGATAATAAATATTTGAATGAATAGATAATTAAGTTATTATTATTATTTTATATAATAGAACTTTCAGATTTGTAGTCTGTTTTAACGTTTATTTATTTAATTATTATTTTATAGAGACAGGGTCTCACTCTTGTTTCTCTGGCTTGAGTACAGCGATATGACCATAGTTCGCTGCAGCCTCCAACTCCTCAGCTCAAGCATTGCCCCTGCCTCAGCCTCCTGAGTTGCTGAGACCACAGTTGCACACCACCATGCTCTGCTAATTTTTAGTTTCCTTTTTCTTTTTTCTTGAGACGAAGTTTTGCTCTTGTTACCCAGGCTGGAGTGCAATGGCGCGATCTCGGCTCACCGCAACCTCTGCCTCCTGGGTTCAGGCAATTCTCCTGCCTCAGCCTCCTGAGTAGCTGGGATTACAGGCACGCGCCACCATGCCCAGCTAATTTTTTGTATTTTTAGTAGAGATGGGGTTTCGCCATGTTGACCAGGATGGTCTCGATCTCTTGACCTCGTGATCCACCCACCTCGGCCTCCCAAAGTGCTGGGATTACAGGCGTGAGCTACCGCGCCCGGCCTGCTCTGCTAATTTTTAAATTTTTTGGTAGGGACAGGATCTTGCTGTGTTGCCCAGGCTTAAGTTTCTATTACTATCACCTGTCTGAAGGAACAAATAGTAAAGGCTGTAGTTCAAGAAAGCTTTACTGAAATTTAAAAAAAAAGAAAATCTACATTTAATGAGCACACTGTGTATCTCAGAGTATTGACCCTGAACAACTAATACCAAGACAAATTCTAAGAGAATTACTGCACTTGAAAGAAAGATATGTTGAGCAACTCAGCAGAAACAGTAAGTTACTTATAAGGGAATGAATTTAGATTGTTATCAGACTTTTCAGTAGCAACACTTTGGAAATTTATGCCAGAAGAAAATAGATTAACATACTTTTAAAAACTTGTTTTCACATAGTTTCAAATTTATGGAAAAAAGTACATAGAACTTCTGTATACCTTTTACCCACATTCACCAGTCTTTAACATTTTGCTACATTTGTTTTATGATTCTCTCTTTTTCTCTCTCTCTGATTATTCAAGCACATAAACACACATTTTTTTTCTGGACTATTTGACAGTAAGTTGCCTATCATTTCCTTTTACCTTTTAGTGTGTATTTCCTAAGAGCAACAGTATTCAATATGTATAACAATATATACGTATTCACAGTGTAGTTACCAAACTCAGAAAATTTAAAAGTGACAGAAACTATATTCCAATTTTGACAGTTGTTTTAATAATATCCTTTTATAATTGTTTCCTCCTCCAGACTAGAATCCAGCTCATGACTTATCATATGTTGCATTTATTTTGTAGAATATTTTTCTTTGCTTTTTTTTTGAGACGTTGACTTGCTTTGTTGCTCAGGCTGGAGGGCAATGGTGCGATCTTGGCTCACTGCAACCTCCACCTCCCAGGATTAAGCGATTCTCCTGTCTCAGCCTCTTGGGTACTGGGATTACAGGTGCCTGCCACCACACCTGGCTAATTTTTGTATTTTTAGTAGAGATGGGGTTTCACCATGCTGGCCAGGCTGGTCTTGAAGTCCAACCTCAGGTGATCCACCTGGCTCAGCCTCCCAAAATGCTGGGATTATAGGCGTGAACCACTGCACCCAGCCAATAGAATATTTTTCAGTTAAGGATTATCTACTCTTGCCTCATGATTAAATTCAGGGTATGTACCCATAGCCAAAATAGTACGTGAGTGATGTTCTGTCCTTCTCAGATGTCACATCTGGAGGTGTACAATATTCATCAGTTTCTCGATGGTAATTTTGGTTACTTGGTCATGGTAATTCACTGCCCAGTGTCTCCAATAGATAGTCTGTGGCTAGACACTTTGAGATATTTCAAGTGTCTTGTTCCTTGTCAAATTTCCCCCATAAGTTTTTCAGCCATTCGTGATTCCTCACTGTACCAGTCTTGACTCTGGTTAAGTGCAAATTGGTAATTTTCCAACTCCACCACTCTTTAAACAATTACCAGCCTGCATTCTACTGTAAGAAGAGCCTTCCCTTCTTGTTTTTGAGAGGGAATCTCTGTCTGTCAACCAGGCTGGAGTGCAATGGCGCGATCTCTGCTCACTGTAACCTCTGCCTCCTGGTTCAAGCAATTCTCCTGAGTAGCTGGAATTACAGGCACCTGCCACCACACCCGACTAATTTTTATATTTTTAGTGGAGACGAGGTTTCACCATGTTGGTTAGGCTGGTTTCGAACTCCTGACCTTGTGATCCGCCTGCCTCAGCCTCCAGAAAGTCCTGGGATTACAGGCGTGAGTGACCATGCCTGGCTGAGCCCTCCCTTCTTAACTCTTATCTATCCATTCATTATCAGTGTTGACTCATGGATTCCTTTTTTGGTTTTGCTTTTAATAAATAGACAATTTGTAGACCAATTTTAGGATTAATAGAAAAATTGAATAGAAAGTACAGAGAGTTTCTATGTACTCCCTCTGTCCCTCATTCTTGCATTATTGTGATATATTTGTTAACAATTGATGAGCCAATATTGATACATTATTAACTAAAATTTATGATATACTTTAGAATTCAAGCTTTGTGTTGTACATTCTGTGGAACTGACAGATGAATGATAACATTTATCTACCCTTACAGGATCATACAGGGTAATTTCACTGAGAAATCCCCTGGGCTCTACCTGTTCATCTCTACCCCCAACACCCAGTTTTTGGCAACTTACTGATGTTTTTACTGCCTATGTAGTTTTGGCATTTTCAAAATATCATACAGTTGGAATCATAGAGTATGTAGCCTTTTCAGGCTGTCTTCTTTCACTTAGCACTATGCATTTAAGGTTCTACTATTCCTTCCTTCCTCTCTCCCTCCCTCCCTTCTTCCTTCCTCTCTTTTCCTCGCCTTTTCCTTCCTTCACTCCCATTTTTTTTTTTTTTTTTTTTTTAAGACAGGTTCTTGCTCTGTTGCACGAACTGGAGTGCAGTGGTGCAGTAATGGCTCACTGCACCCTGACCTCCCAGGCTCAAGTAATCCTCCTACCTCAGCCTCCCAAGTAACTGGAACCACAGGCGTGTGCCACCATGTGCGGCTAATTTTATTTTTTTGTACAGACAGTCTCACCCTCTTGCCCACCTGGGATTTCATTTCTTTTTTTTTTTTTTTTTTTTTTTTTGAGACAAAGTCTCGCTCTCTCACCCAGGCTAGAGTACAGTGGTGCTATCATAGCTTAATATAACCTTGAACTTCTGAGCTCAAGCAGTCTTTCTGCCTCAGCCTCTTGAATAGCTGGGGCTGTAGGCACACACCACCACACCCAGCTAATTTAAGAGTTTTTTTTGTGAAGATGGAGTCTCACCTGTGTTGCTCAGGCTGATCCTGAACTCCTAGGTTCAAGTGATCCTCCTGCCTTGGCTTCCCAAAGTGTTGGGATTACAGGCATGAGCCACCATGCATGGCTGATAGCTCATTTATTTTAATTGCTAAGTAATATTTAATTGTATGGATGTATCACAGCTTGTTTATTTTTTACCTATTAAAAGGTACCTTGGTTTTTTTCCAGGTTTTGACAATTGTGAATAAAGCTGCTGTAAACATTTGCATGCAGATTTTTGTGTAGGCATAAAGTTTCAATGCATTTCAGTAAATACCTAGGTAAACTCCTAGTTCAGATGCTGGATTGAATGATTTCACTTTGTAAGAAACTGCCAAACTGTCTTCCAAAGTGGCTTTACATTTTACACTCCTACCAGCAATGAATGAGTTTATTTTGCCTCACATCCTTGCCAGCATTTGGTGGTGGTATTATTTTGGATTTTGGTCATTCTAAAAGGTGATTCTGTTCCCTTTTGATTTTTATTAACATGTTTCATCTTCTCTTTTCTAAGAACATCTGTTTCTCTTTCTTTATTTGGATTTGTTTATAATGCAGTGATAATTCAGCTAGTTTTTTTTTTTTTGACATAGAGTCTTGCTCTGTTGCCTAGACTGGAGTGCAGTGGCATGATCTCGGCTTGCTGTAACCTCTGCCTCCTAGCATCAAGCAGCTCTCTTGCCTCAGCCTCCCAAGTACTTGGATTACAGATGCATGCCACCATGCCTAGCTAATTTTTGTATTTTTAGTAGAGACGGGGTTTCACCATGTTGGTCAGGTTGGTCTCGAACTCCTGACCTTGTGATCCACTCGCCTCGGCCTCCCAAAGCGCTGAGCTTACAGGCGTGAGCCACTGTTACCAGCCTCAGCTAGTGTTTTGCAAATTGGTTTTGAACCTCATAGCTTTTATGAATGTTTTAAATTTCCTAATAGTATTTTAAAGTTAGTTTTGACTAAGTAGAATAGCAACCTCTTTTTTGACTCATTAACTTTTTTCTCATTTGTGCTTTCTTTCTGCCATTATAGGTGCTTCGGAGGATTTTTCCTAATTTGCTCTTCTTTTTCTGTGTTTTGATACTCTTTCTTTTTTTCTTTTTTAGAGGCAGGATCTCACTCTGTTTCCTAGGCTGGAGTACAGTGGTGTGATCATAGCTCACTGCTGCCTCAAAACCTCCAGCACCCAACATTTTGAGTAGCTAGAACTACTCACACTGCCATGCCTGGCTAATTTTTTGTTTTGTTTTGTTTTTTGTTTTTTGAGACGGTTTCTCTCTTGTTACCCAGGCTGGAGTGCAATGGCACGATCTCGGCTCACCGCAACCTCCGCCTCCTGGGTTCAAGCAATTCTCCTGCCTCAGCCTCCCTAGTAGCTGGGACTACAGGCATGTGCCACCATGCCCAGCTAATTTTTGTATTTTTAGTAGAGACGGGGTTTCACCATGTTGACCAGGATGGTCTCGATCTCTTGACCTCATGATCCACCCGCCTCGGCCTCCCAAAGTGCTGGGATTACAGGCTTGAGCCACCGCGCCCGGCCCCTAATTTTAAAATTTACTATAGAGGCAAGGTCTTAGTATATTGTTTGGGTTGGTCTCAAATTCCTGGTTTCAAGTGATCCTCCCACCGCAGCCTCCCAAAGTGTTGGTATTACAGGTGTGAGCTATCATGCCTGGCAGATACTTCTTATTGGATATAATGTTGTCTTCTGACAGACTTCAGAATCATTGAGCAGATCTTACTGGCTCTGTTGCTTCTCACTGTTTTTTATTTTCAAGATTTTGGGGGGAAGGATGTGTTAATTCAACAGGAGACACTTTGCAGGTGATCTTTTCAGAAGTCATCTGTGAGAGTGTTTGAATATATGTATAAAGGAATACTATTGCCCTATCTAAGGGCTCATGGGAAATACAGTTTTCCCATAATAAGACCAATAACATCATCATCGTTCTCTTTTACTGTCACCCTCAGTGGTTCTTCAGTAGGAAGTGACATGCTATGTTCATTGTCCTAGTTGATTGTGAAGTTGACTTTAGTTTGGCTGAAGTAGAAGGCCAAAGGGTAAGTGTAAGAGACAAAAGCTAGAAACATTATCCAGGAATTGTTACTATTTCATATTGAACAATAATGTGGAAAGAATTGGGCATTACAAATCACAGAAACCTAGCTTCAGTATGATTATATTTTTCAAAAGTTTAAAAACAAGCAAAACTAAACAATATATTGCATAGAGCTGCATGCATATGTGGCAAAATTCTGATGATATACAAAGAAGTGACTAAAAAGGAAAACCAGAAAGCAGGGTATTTATTGTCTCTGATGAGGAGGCAGCAGGTGAATGGGATCAGGCAACATTTTAGTTCTTAAGTTAGGTGGTAGCATCATAGTGATTTTTATTTTTAATGCTTTATTACTTACATGTACTTTACATAAATTCTTATCCTTTAAAAAATGTATCAAATACTTGGAGAAAGGAAGAGTAGGGGTAAAATTGGGCTTTGAAGACAGATAAATTTAGGTTCAAATCCCAGCACTGTTGTTTACCACTGTGTGGCCTTGGGCAAGTTACTTGTTTAACTTTTTAAAATTTCACTTTGTCTTCATTTCATTCATTCATTTATTTATTATATTTATTTATTTTTGAGATGGAATCTCAATCTCTGTCACCCAGGCTGGAGTGCAGCGTTATGTTATCCCAGCTCACTGCAACCTCTGCCTCCTGGGTTTAAGCGATTCTCCTGCCTCAGCATCCCGAGTAGCTAGGACTACAGGTGCACACCACCACGCTTATCTAATTTTTGTATTTTTAGTAGAGACGGGGTTTTACCAGGTTGCCCAGGCTGGTCTTGAACTCCTGACCTCAAGTGATTTACCCACCTTGGCCTTCCAAAGTGCTGGAATTACAGGTGTGAGCCACCATACTCAGCCACTTCACTGTCTTTAAAATGGAAATTGCAAGATTGTTTAAAAAAATTAATGTAATATATCTGAAGTCCCAAGCAATATTCACACAAAGTATGGATTATGCAAATATTAGCTATTAATATTGTTAAGAATAGGAACAGAATAGTTCAAATTTTGAAATCTTATTTGGATTTCTTTTCCAGAGCCTGGAGTGTATAATATAAACTTAGGTGTTTTAAGGAAATCAGCATTGTGGGGATTGGATAAGATTTAGAATGGAAACTGAATAGGAATGGATTTATGTTTTTGTTTGTTTATAATTTAGGTGGGAGACCTACCTGATGCAGATATTAAACCTCCAGAAAATGTGCTGTTTGTGTGTAAATTGAACCCAGTGACCACAGATGAGGATCTGGAAATAATATTCTCTAGATTTGGGCCAATAAGAAGGTAATCATTAGAATTAGTGAAAGAGAAATTTGGAAAAAAGAGGTATTAGTTGTTGGTTTTCTAATGACATATATTGATGATTCTGTGAATTCTAGGTGAATTTTGTACTGGTGAATTTTTACAGGTGAGTCTTTGGACAGTAGGGAAGAAAATGTATATGTGTGTGTATATGTGTGTACATACACGTATACACACACATATAGAGGTAAATAGTTGAATCTCCCACTCCCCACACATTTTCACTAAAACAGGAAATGAAAGGAACAATTTAAATCTAGTTTTGTAATATGCGTTAATAGCCTTCTTTAATATTTAAAATATTTATCTCATTTAACTCCTAGAATTAACAGCAATTTATGTCAAAATTAATTTAAAACTAAATTTTCCAAAATTTTTCTTTTGGCTAATTTTCCTTGCATAAATAAAAAAGTCTGTGAAGCTAGTATGTCTGTGAGGAAGGGGACTATTTTGTCATTGATTAAAAAGTATATTTAGGGTTTCCTTTCATTTCAGGTTTTTAAAACGAGATTTATGACACTTGGGGAAAGGGACAAGCCAGGTGCTTTCAACTCCAGCTTATTGGCCTTTTCACTTGGTTATTATGGCATGTTAGTTTTGTAAGTAACATTGTGCTTATGGTGTTAAATTTGAGCTATTAATTTGACTATTAAAAATAAAAAATCTCAAAGCTTAAACTTACTAAACATATGTATGAATATGCATACATTATTCTAAAGTAATATTAGATATTCTGTAATTCATCTATGTTTGGACTAGAAAAGTGTTATGATTTAAAAAATCTTTAGCAGTTTCATTTTGCCAAATGAAAATTAAATATTTTTATTCTTCCTTCAGTGCTTAAGGGAATTTAGGACTGTAGGCCTGCATAGGGAATGTAGAGTAGAATTTAGATAATTTAGTTACTGGTTTGGTGAACTATTTTTTAAAAAAGCATTGTTATTAAAGAAATTTGGAAAACTCCATGAATTTAACTTTGCCTTGTAATAACTGACTTATTTCTTCGTAAGTTTTGAAGAGTGAAAGTGAATGCTTTCTCCCTGACCCCCCACTTTTTTTTTTTTAAGTCACTTTAAAATACTTTCTTTCAGTTGTGAAGTTATCCGGGACTGGAAGACAGGAGAGTCCCTCTGTTATGCTTTTATTGAATTCGAAAAGGTATGTCATAATACAGACATAAGTTTGGTATTTATTTGCTTTTATATGATATTAAAATATGAAAAATTGTAGAACTTTTTCTAGTTTCTAGAATTGCCCTTTCTTTTAGCACTTCTCAAAATTAACTTTATTGTATTCATATAGGGGATAAATCCAACATCTATTGATGTTAATATCCATACTTTAACTTTAGGTTCAGGTGCAATCTTCATGAAAGTATCTTTAGAACTTTTTGTCTTTAGAACTTGCTCTGTCACCCAGGATGGAATGCAATGGCCTAGTCTTGGCTCACTGCAACCTTCACCTCCGGGGTTCAAGAGATTCTTCTGCCTCAGCTTCCCGAGTAGCTGGGATTATAGGTGCCCATCACCGTGCCCTGCTAATTTTTTTTGTATTTTTAGTAGAGATGGGGTGTCACTATATTGGCCAGGCTGATCTTGAACTCCTGATCTCAAAAGATCTGCCTGCTTTGGCCTCGCAAAGTGCTGGGATTACAGGCATGAGCCATCACAGCCAGCCAGTCTTTAGAACTAGGTAAAGGCCTTCATGGACTCTTTTTTTTTTTTTTTTTTTTTCGAGACACAGTCTTACTCTGTCACCCAGGCTGGAGTGCAGTGGCGTAATCTCGGCTTATTGCAACCTCTGCCCCTCAGGTTCAAGTGATTCTTGTGCTTCAGCCTCCTGAGTAGCTGGGATTACAGGTGTGCACCACCATGCCCGGCTGATTTTTGTACTTTTAGTAGAGACAGGGTTTCACCATGTTCGTCAGGCTGGTCTTGAACTCCTGACCTTATGATCTGCCTGCCTCAGCCTCTCAAAGTGCTCGGATTACAGGTGTGAGCCACCGCTCCCGGCCTCATAGACTCTAATAATTTTTCCCTGTTACTTAAGTGGAGGTAAAAGTCAGTAATAGAAAACCGAACTGGATGTTAAGATCTAAATATTAATCCCTCTTTTGTCACTAGCTGGCTATTATATGATACTTGCCAGTTTAGTTAACCCTTCTTTCTAGGCCTTACCTTCCTATAAATAAAACTTGGGTATTAGATTACATGGTCCCTTCTAGAGCTGTAATAATGTTGATAGCTTATGTTGCTCAAATATTTACTTTAAGCTAGGCATTATGTTACTTTTACTGCATTTAATCCTCACAGTTCTATAAGATAGGGACCATTCCCTTTACCAAGTAAGTTCACTGAGGCACATAATGCTAATGTGACTTGTTCAAAATCACACATCTAGTAAATGAATGTCATAGCTAGGATTTCAACTCAGATATGTCTGATTCTGTTACCATTGAGTTTACATTATGCTACGGTATGCTGTTTTTAAATGCAACTTCAGGCTAATATGTATCCAATAGTAGCTCATTCTAAGTTCTAATTATGAAGCATTTATGGGATACCTTTTAGGTTTTCAGGCACAGCAATAAGGCTTAGGAATACAAGATAAATCATGGAGGGTTGAGGAAGATAGACACAAAGATACACGTAGGCACTGTGTACCAGAAATGATACTTAGAAGGTACATTGGTGCCAGCAGAAAGACCTTTACCTTTGGTTTGTTGTGAAAACTTGTAGACCTGCATTAGCATTCTTTCATTGACACTATAGAATCTATTACTTATTTCCTCACAAAGAAAATTTTATTTCATTTGTAGCACATAGGCTAATGACTGCCCATGTTTTTCAGTTTTTGGAGTTATACCATTTTTTTTTTCCTTTTTCTTTTTATGAGACAGTTTTGCTCTGTCGCCCAGGCTAGAGTGCAGTGGCATCATCTCAGCTCACTGCTACCTCTGCCTCCCAGTTTCAAGTGATTCTCCTGCCTCAGGCTCCCAAGTAGCTGGGATTACACATGCGTGTCACTACACCTGGCTCATTTTAATATTTTTAGTAGATATGGGGTTTCATAATTTTGGCCAAGCTGGTCTTGAACTCCTGACCTCAAGTGATCCACCTGCCTTAGCCTCCTAAAGTATTGGAATTATAGGCGTGAACCACCGTACCCGCTGTTTTGCTTTTTATTCATCTCTAAGGATTTTTTATATTTTCTGGAGGCAAGCTTTTTGTTGTTGTTGTTTATATGTGATACAGATATCTCTGCTCTGTGGATTTCCTTTTTTTTTTTTTTTTTTTTTGAGACGGAGTTTTGCTCTTGTTGCCTAGGCTGGAGTGCAATGGTGTGATCTTGGCTCACTGCAACCTCTGCCTCCCAGGTTCAAGCAATTCTCCTGCCTGAGCCTCCCAACTGGCTGGAATTACAGGCATGCACCACCACACCCCACCAATTTTGTATTTTTAGTAGAGACAGTGTTTCTCCATGCTGATCAGGCTGGTCTTGAACTCCCGACCTTAAGTAATCCACCCGCCTCTGCCTCCCAAAGTGCTGGGATTACAGGCGTGAGCCACTGCACGCAACCTACTTTTTATTTCTTCCTTTTTTCTCTCTTTTTTTTTTTTTGAGACGGAGTTTTGCTCTTGTTACCCTCTCGGCTCACCGCAACCTCTGCCTCCTGGGTTCAGGCAATTCTCCTGCTTCAGCCTCCTGAGTAGCTGGGATTATAGGCACGCGCCACCATGCCCAGCTAATTTTTTTTTGTATTTTTAGTAGAGACGGGGTTTCACCATGTTGACCAGGTTGGTCTCAATCTCTCGACCTTGTGATCCACCCGCCTCGGCCTCCCAAAGTGCTGGGATTACAGGCTTGAGCCACCGCGCCCGGCCCCTTTTTTCTCTTTTTTTAAGGGACAGGATCTCTGTGTTTTGCCCAGGCTGGACTTTGAACTCGTGGGCTCAAGTCATTCTCCAACTCGAGCCTCCTGAGTAGCTGGGACCACAGGCATGCCTTTTTCCTTTCTTTCTTTCTTTCTTTTTTTTTTTTTTTTGAGACAGAGCCTTGCTCTGTTGCCCAGGCTGGAGTGCAATGGCGTGATCTCAGCTCACTGCAACCCTCTGCCTCCTGGGTTCAAGCAAGTCTCCTGCCTCAGCCTCCCAAGTAGCTGGGACTATAGGTGTCCTCCACCACGCCCAACTAATTTTTGTATTTTTAGTAGAGACGGGGTTTCACCATATTGGCCAGGCTGGTCTCAAACTCCTGACCTTGTGATCTGCCTGCCTCGGCCTCCCAAAGTGCCTGGATTACAGATGTGAGCTACCACACCTGGCCCCCTTTTTCCTTTCTTAATGGTGTCTTTTGATAAATAAATTTCTAATTTTAATGGTTCAGTTTGTCAGTATTTTTCTTTTTTTTTAATGTTCTATTTAAAAAATCTTTGCCTACTTCAAAGACTTGATATTCTCCTGTATTATTTTTAGAAGTTATGTTGTCAAATTGTTTTCCATTCAATTTTGTAAAATGCTTTTTGTGTATGGGTATTACATCATTTCGTTTTTCTTGGATTGCCAAGCAACACTCAGGATCATTTATTTAAAAGGTTGTCCTTTTCTCTGAGGTCTCTGCTGATGAAAATAATTAAAAAGTTGTCCTTTCCCACAGCTCTGTACTACCACCTTTGCTATAAATCAGGTATCCATATATGTATAAAGTTTCTAGGTGCTATGCTGTTGCACTGATATGTTTGTCTATTCATATACCACTGTTATATTGTATTAATCACTGTAGGTTTATAGTGTCTTGATAACTTACAGTGTGAGTCTTCTAACTTTGTTGTTTTTGAAGATTGTGATAGCTGTTTTTGACTTTTGAATTTATATATATATTTTTGAATCAGTTTCTTAATTTTGAAGAGATTTCTTAACTATTTAGGTGTAAGTAAATTGAGTATTTGCAAATACTATTCTCCTGAAAAAGTGATCTGAGCACTTTCTCTTTGCAGAAATGGCATGGTGATAGAGTTATACTTGCCTAAAAATAATCAGTCAGATTCATGAAACGTACACTGATTGCCTACGTTTTAGATACCATGGCATATGATGTTATAAATGATGTAGTTACAAAGATGAATAAAGCTTTGTCTGTATCTTCATGAGTTTATAATTAATTTTATTTTTGACACATGTAATAAATAAATATAACTATTTTATCTGTTTCTCTTTGGATTATCTCTAGTAAGAATAAGTTTCCAGGAATAGAAAAGAAAATTGATCAGTGCTGAGTTGAAATATGTCACTGTCAGTGTCAGAAACAGGGATTTAGAGTTGGGAAGTACTGAGAGGAAGGATTCTTGTATAGCACAGACCTTGATATTCCAGGCTCACAGTTTGTTATCTAAAACCCCTGAGAATAAGCAGGCTTCCTAATTTAGAATTTTTCAGAATTCAGAAAGGTAATACTGTGTGTATGCATACACACACATACATATTACATCTGTGATTATGTAATATCCTTCTGGGTCAGCATTTCATAAGCCGTCACAAAAGTATTTCTGCAGTGAAACAAATGAATATTCATACTAAGTGGATAAAAAAAAAGTCATAACTTACCATTAGGTCCAGTGTTGCTGCCAAATAAATTTTAACACCAAACTTACGAAAACAACTTTCACTTTTCAGGATGTTTTTGGATTTTGAGTAAAAAGGATTGTGAACTTGTATAATACAGTCAATAGGTGTGTATTTATCTGTCTACTGCAGTCGAACTGCCTCTTTTAAAATCCTGGCTCTGTCCCTTGCCAGCAACTTCTATGCTTCTCTAAATGTCTGTTTTCTCATTGAGAAAACAGAGATAATAATAGATAGTACTTCATGGGGCTGTTAACAGAGTTATTTGGGATAATAGATACAAAGCATTTAACAGCATCTGGTGTGTAGTAAGTATTAAAACATTAAATTTTGTAACAGCACATTTTTTGTATTTTCAGTATTCTAGCTACAGAAATCTTTTCCATAAAGATTTATGCTTGAGTTTTTATAATTATTATCAGGAAGAAGATTGTGAGAAAGCGTTCTTCAAAATGGACAATGTACTTATAGATGACAGAAGAATACATGTGGATTTTAGCCAGTCTGTTGCAAAGGTTAAGTGGAAAGGAAAAGGTATGATGGTTTATTTTCTTTTGTGTTTGCTCTTCTTTCTTTCTATTTTTATTTTTATTTATTTATTTTTTTGAGATGGACTTTTGCTGTTGGTACCCAGGCTGGAGTGCAATGGCGCGATCTCGGCTCACCGCAACCTCCGCCTCCTGGGTTCAAGCAATTCTCCTGCCTCAGCCTCCTGAGTAGCTGGGATTACAGGCACGTGCCACCATGCCCAGCTAATTTTTTCTATTTTTAGTAGAGACGGAGTTTCACCATGTTGACCAGGATGGTCTCGATCTCTTGACCTCGTGATCCACCCGCCTCGGCCTCCCAAAGTGCTGGGATTACAGGCTTGAACCACTGCACCTGCTCCTTCTTTCTTTCTTTCTTTCTTTCCTTTCCTTTTTTTTTTTTTTTCTGGAGATGGAGGCTCACTCTGTTGCCCAGGCTGGAGTGCAGTGGCGTGGTCTTGGCTCACTGTAATCTTTGTCTGTTGGGTTCAAGCCATTCTCATGCCTCAACCTCACAAGTAGCTGGATTACAGTCACGTGCTACCATGCCCAGCCAAGTTTTGTATTTTTAGTAGAGACAGGGTTTCACCATGTTGGTCAGGCTGGTTTCCAACTCGTGACCTCGGGTAATTCATTCACCTCTGCCTCCCGAAGTGGTGGGATTACAGGCCTGAGCCACTGCACCTGGCCTTATTTTTGTTCTGCTTTTCATGCTTATGTGAGCTTTTGATTGAGTGCTGTTAATTAGGAGAAATGTTAGTTCATGTAACTTCTGCCATTTATAATTTTACAAACCTGCTGTCTAGAAACTGAGGTAGAGTGTGTTTGTGTCTGTGTGTGTGTGTGTGTGTGTGTGTGTGTATTTTAAACTGATGAAAAATTATATTTTCTATGTTTGTATTATAAACTGCTAATAATTATCCACTGCAGACATGATATGTTTCCAAAGTAATTATTTTGACTTTATGGTGGTTTGAGTTTTTTAGGTACGCAACTTAAATTTTTTAAAGTTTGTTTTAGTTGTCATATAATGCAAAATAGAAAAGGTCCATAAAAGTCTCATTCATTCCTGCTCCTCGTATCTGATTTCTTCCAGGGCAACCATTATTACCTATTGGTACTAATTTTCCCCTATAGTCTTTGAATATATATCTGCATGCATATATATATATATATATATATATATATATATATATATATGTATGATTTTCTCCTTTTAAAATACAAAGGATGCAGTCTATACATACTGTTTTTGTACCTTGCGTTTTTTCACTTAACAGTGTATCTAAGAAATTAGTTCATGTGAGTATATTAAAATGAACCAGTCATATTAATAAGTTTTCTAAATTTTTACTCTTTTGTGTCCGTAGCAGTATGTTTTACCCCTATACATATTAAATTTCCCACATATTCGTACGCATATGTCAAATAAATTCCTGGTAGCATGTCAGTCTTAAAGTTGGGTCTCTTGTATGTTGAAATAAGTTTTAGGTTTTTTTATGTAGTGTTTTTAAAAGGTTTTACTTTGATAGTTACTGACATGTAATGCTAAATTTTACTGGGAACTTTAGGGTTAGTTTATTTTTCTATAACACTTTTCTATAACATCATTTCCCATGATTTTAATGAACTTTTTTTTTTTTGTCTGTTTTTAGTAAGAAAAACACTAGTTGTGAATTGCTGAATTGTTTGGTGGATTCTGTTACTTTATGGGAGTTTAGAGAATGAAGAAATTATTAATGTGACAGAAGTAGGCAAGGAAGTTGCCATTTGGCAGCAGAGTATCTCTTGTTAGATCTTAAAAGATCTCTTAAATTCTCACTTCTTCCAAACCTGGTCTTTCAGATCTTAAACTCAGGTCCCAAATTCTCCATTTTCCATTGGACTTAATGTTGTCATGGACTCAGTGGCTCTACTTGAACACTCCATTTGTGTGTAATTTATTTGAAAGTTTGATGTTGTAATATTCACATATGTCGTTAGGTGGCAGCATGTGGCTACCTATCAAAATGGATATCTGATTTTGGTTAAATTAGTAATGGAGATGGAATTACTCTGATTCTTTTATTCCCTTTTTCTGTCTCTCGATATATGCCATTTATAAAATAGCTCTTACACCTTTTATAAAATAATTATTGTTCTTGATTAACTAGGTGGTTTTTTTTTTTTTTACTAAGCTCTTTTTTTCTTCTTTTTTAAATAAATAGGTGGGAAATACACCAAGAGTGATTTCAAGGAATATGAAAAAGAACTGGATAAACCATCTAATTTGGTTCTGAAAGATAAAGTAAAGCCCAAACAGGAGTATCCTTGCCAAGAATCAGTTAGTTAATATATATTGACTATCTGCTATGTGTAGATTTCTGTGTGATGTGTTATCAAAAGTCACAAAAGCTATAGAAGACAAAGTTCCTGAATCCAGATTGTTTGTGAGGAAGTAACTTAGTTTATCATTATCTCTTTTATTTTTTTAAAATTTAATTAATTTTGTTTATCATGTTAAAGGACATTTCAGTGCTATCATTATCTCTTTTCAAGATCTTACATATACTTTGCTTTTTCACTGTACTCTAGTGTATGGAAAAAGTTAAGGTTGAAAGAAATCTGTAGCCTAATTCTTTTATCAATACCTTCCTACCCTAGGTTAAGTAGTTTCCTACTTAGCATATTCTCAGCAGATCTTCAGGTTAAGATTTGTAATTTCTTTTTTGGGGGGCTTTTCTACAAAAACTGGAAAGCCTGCTGGACAAATTTTAAAAGAGCTGTAACACTAGCTTTGTATTTTTTCTATATAATTTTAATGTTTTTTATTCCCCATAATCAGAAATTTATTATTGCTAAGCTGAATCCTTTGTGCTAACCACTCTTTGTTTAACTTTCTTAATGTAGATAACAAAATCCTATTGTTCTCTGTTACAAAATTAGGTTACTTCTTTCTGTATAGTATATTATAATTTAAACAACACATATTTATTGGGCTTCTACTGAGTGCAGGAGTTCACTTTTGTAGGATTAAAAAGAAATCCATTGACTTGACCATTTACTTTAGGTTCTTCCAAGTTTTAGATCGAGACATGTAAAAAGTGATGAAACACACTGTTTTGTTTTGTTTTTTTTTTTTTTTTTGAGATGGAGTCTCACTCTGTCACTAGGCTGGAGTGCAGTGCAATCTCTGCCTCCTGGGTTCAAGCAATTCTCCTGTCTCAGCCTTTTGAGTAGTTGGGACTACAGGTGTGCGCCACCATAGCTAATTTCTGTATTTTTAGTAGAGACGGGGTTTCACCGTGTTGGCCAGGATGGTCTTGATCTTCTGACCTCGTGATTCGCCCGCCTTGGCCTCCCAAAGTGCTAGGATTACAGGCATGAGCCACCATAGCCAGCTGAAAGGTACTGTTTATATTATGACATTTTAATTTGTTCACTAATTTTTCCCATTATAAATATGTCATTCCACACATTGCCAAAGTTCGTTCTTTTGTGATTCTTTCTGGTAAATGGTGTCTTTGTTTCCTAGTTTCTATTGGTATTTCAGGAATTGTTTTTCCATACATGTTAGGTAGACATTTCTTTTCTAAGTACTCATCAAGAAAGATGAGTATCAGTTTGACCTGGTCTGTATTCATGTTTTAAGAATGTGTTGCTGGGCACGGTGGCTCAAGCCTGTAATCCCAGCACTTTGGGAGGCTGAGGCGGGTGGGTCATGAGGTCGAGAGATCGAGACCATCCTGGTCAACATGGTGAAACCCCGTCTCTACTAAAAATACAAAAAATTAGCTGGGCATGGTAGCGTGTGCCTGTAATCCCAGCTACTCAGGCGGCTGAGGCAGGAGAATTGCCTGAACCCAGGAGGCGGAGGTTGCGGTGAGCCGAGATCGCGCCATTGCACTCCAGCCTGGGTAACAAGAGCGAAACTCCATCTCAGAAAAAAAAAAAAAAAAAAAAAGAATGTGTTGACTGTCTACAATACATAAAGCATTGTGAGGTGTTAGAGCTGGATAAAGTGAAGGAAGCCGATAAAATCAGCATGAGGAGAGGCTTTCACATGCAGACAGAACAAACAAGAAGCTGGGATTTGATCTGAAAATATTAACATTCAAGGGCATATGATTGAAAGCTTTAAATCATAAAAGGTATAAATGGAATACATTTGAGATTTATTTACTAAATCTTTGAAATTAAGTTTAGGCTTTTTACTAATAACTGTAGCTAGAAAATGGGGAATTTTAAGTTTTCTTTAATTTTAATTAATTGAAAAAACCACACATATGCCTTTATGGAATAGTGTAGCTTTTAGCCTTCCGATGTTGATATAGACAGAGAAATGCCATTAGGGGATAGTCTGATGTGCAGATAAGTTGTCGTCAGTCAATTAAGGCATGGTGGCATCTACTTTATGGGCCTTGAGAGAAAGAAATTACTGTAAATATAGATTCTTAATAAGAACAATCAAAAATAGAAGTAGGAGAAGGAAGTAACTTGGCCCAACTAGGCCTGAGGGAAGAAACTGGAGAAGAGGGCAGTGAGCCCACAAATTTGTGTTTTATTCAAAGGGAGGGATTTGATGTCTTCTAAAACTGTTGATTTTAGTGGTAGGTATGAGATAGTGGGCAAGTGAGGAAGCAAGAAATACAACAAGTGTCTTGAAGATATGACAAGTCATATTACAGATAACTTATTTAGCATCTATCATATACTCAGTTTAGCAGTGGAAGATATTCAGTTCCTGCCCACATAGAGCTTACTTTTTTTTTTTTTTTTTTTTTTGAGAGTCTCACTCCATCGCCAGGCACTAGGCTGGAGTGCAGTGGCAGGATCTTGGCTCACTGCAACTTTCGCCTACCGAGTTCAAGCAATTCTCCTGCCTTAGCCTCCCTAGTAGCTGGGACTACAGGCACGCGCCACCACGCCCAGCTAATTTTTGTATTTTTAGTAGAGACAGGGTTTCACCTTGTTGGCCAGGATGGTCTCGATCTCTTGACCTCGTGATCCGCCTGCCTCAGCCTCCCAAAGTGCTGGGATTACAGGTGTAAGCTACTGTGCCTGGCCAGAGCTTACATTTTATTGTTACAGTGGGGAAAAAGAACAGACATAGAGTAATTACCATTAACTAAATATGTCTAAACTATTGCAAAGAAATATTGCAAAGGGATTTGGGACTCTTAATAGGGGGCGAGATGTTAGAGAATACCCTCAACACTGAAAAAAGTGACATTAAAGCTGCGACACTAATATGGGAGATAGGAGGGCTGAGGTGGAATGCTGTCTTCTTTCATGTGATCCATCATTTAAGAAATAGGCTGGGTACAGTGGTTCATGCCTTTAATTCCAGCACTTTGGGAGGCCAAGTTGGGAGGACTGCTTGAGCCCTGAAGTTTGAGAACAGTCAGGGAAACATAGTGAGACCCTGTCTCCATTTTTTTTTTTTAAATACAGATTTTAACTTAACTCAGTACAGTCACAGTACAGTCACACACACACACACACACACACACACACACACACACAAATCAAAAGGTTAATAAAATACAAATTTTAGGTGGCATATACTATATTTCTGTATTTTTTAAAAATGCTGTTGTGACCCACTAAATAGATTTTGTATCCCATTGATGCATTATAGTCATCAGTTTGAAAAACACTGCTCTGAGCCCGGTGCAGTGGCTCATGCCTATAATCCCAGTACTTTGGGAGGCCGAGGTGGGTGGATCACTTGAGGTCATGAGTTTGAGACCATCCTGTCCAATATGGTGAAACTCCATCTCTACTAAAAATACAAAAATTAGCCAGGTGTGGTAGTATATACCTGTAATCATAGCAACTTGGGAGGCTGAGGCAAGAGAACTGCTTGAACTAGGGACGGGGAGGTTTCAGGGAGGCGAGATTGGGCCACTGCACTCCAGCCTGCGTAACAGACCAACACTCAGTCTCAGGAAAAAAAAAAAAAATGGAAAGAAGAACACTGCTCTGAAGAATTTGGATAGAGAGAGCAGCATGTGCAGAGCACACATTAGGATGAAATCATAGGCAGGAGCTATGGACTGTGTATCTGGAACAGGCAAGATCCAGAAGATGCCCTGGAAACAGTGTGGCGTGTTAAAAAGGGGGAAGAAGTGGGAGATAATGGAGTTGTAACAGGATGGTGTGAGCTGACTGACCTTCAGCTATCTCTTGGGAAGCCAGGAGGGACAGTGTCTTTCATTTGCTTTTATGTAGAAGTGAGACGTTCCTGTGAAGAATGTGGAACTGTGGCTTTGTGAAGCCGACCTGAGTCCTGATGGAAGTGTTCACTGTAGTCCCACAGGGAACTAGCATAGCTCTGCCTGTTGGGCTTCCTCATAAGCTTTCTTTTGAAAACCACCATTGCTGCCCATGTCTGCCTTCCTCAAAACCCACCTTTGAGGTTGAGATGATTTTCGGCAGAAGTGGTAACTATTATATATTTTATCTTATGCTAAGATATTATATTTAAGAAAATACTTATCTATGAATTAAAACATTAAGAAGTATATGAAATTTAAAAGGATTCATTCGTAGGTTCATCACCTAGACAGATACTTTTTATTTCTCCTTGTTTCTTTCAAGCCTTTGTCTTATGTAAAGTTATAATTGTTGTATAGTATATGTAGTATTTGCTTCAAGCTTTTTTCATGCTAATTTTTATAAACACCTTTCTAGGTTTTTTTTTTCTGTAACATTTATCGTTGTTAACTTCCTTTATAATATCTCTTTGAAGTACTATAATGCGTTTAAGTATAACTTTATTACTAGGTATTTTGTTGTTCCCACTTTGATACTAAAAGTAATCCTATTATGCTTTAAAAAAAATTTTTTTTTGAGATAGATTCCCACTCTGTCACCCAGGCTGGAGTGCAGTGGTGCCACCCCAGCTCACGGAAGCCTCTGCCTCCTGGGTTCAAATGGTTCTGCCTCAGCCTCCCAAGTATCCGGGGTTATTATAGGTGTGTGCCACCACGCCAGGCTAATTATTGTATTTTTAGTGGAGATGGGGTTTCACCATGTTGGCCAGGCTGCTCTCGAACTTCTGGCCTCAAGTGATTTGCCTATCTCTGCTTCCCAAAGTGCTGGGATTACAGGTGTGAGCCACCACACCTGGCTATTTTGTATATTTTTGTTCATTTAACTTTATTTATAAATTCTTACTAGAATTTAAACATGATGGCCAGGCGTGGTGGCTCATGCCTGTGATCCTGGTGGGGAGGCGGAGGGGGGCGCGGATCACAAGGTCAGGAGTTGAGACCAGCCTAGCCAACATGGTGAAACCCTGTCTCTACTAAAGATACAAAAGGCTGGGCATGGTGGCTCATGCCTGTACTCTCAGCACTTTGGGAAGCCAAGGCAGGTGGATCACCTGAGGTCAGAAGTTTGAGACCAGCCTGGCCAACATTGTGAAACCCCGTCTCTACTGAAAATACGAAAAATTAGCTGGGTGTCTTGGCGGGTGCCTGTAATCCCAGCTACTTGGGAGGCAACGGTTGCAGTGAGCCGAGATTGTGCCATTGCACTTCAGCTTGAGCAACCAGAGTAAGATTCTGTCTCAAAAAAAAAAAAAAAAAAAAAAACCAAAAAATTAGCCGGGTGTTGTGGTGAGCAGCTGTAATCCCAGCTACTCGGAGGGCTGAGGCAGGAGAATCGCTTGGACCCAGGAAACAGAGGTTTCAGTGAGCTGAGATTGCGCCATTGCACTCCAGCGTGGGCGACAGGGCAAGACTATCTCAAAAACAAAAAAAAAAAGAATTTAAACATGATAACTTGATATGCATTGCTGAATTTCCTCCTATAGGACTGAACTAAAAGAAGGGACATACCTGCTATCTTATACAGCTTTTCTGGGCATTGGAATTTATAATATCTTATTTTTTTCTGGTTAAAGATGTCCCTCATTTTCTGTTTATTATTATTGACAAACATGTTTATTTTCCCCTCTATTTTTTTGCCTACTAGTTGTTATTTTAAGATTGTTTAGGATTAGGATTCTTTCCATTTATCCTGACTGTATAATGAAAGAAAATGTTAGTTTTGTTTAAGAAATGTACTCTATTCTTTTGAGATGCTTTTTGCTTTAAAGTTACTTTTAGCCTATAATCTTTGTTTACGAGATTCTTAAGTTTTGATGTCTTACCAGTATTATTTCTCACATTTATCCTTAACTAACTGCTGCAGTGCAAAATATGATCTTATACTAGATGAGCAGGCCGAAGACTCAAAATCAAGTCACTCACACACAAGTAAAAAACACAAGAAGAAAACCCGTCACTGCTCTGAAGAAAAAGAAGATGAGGACTACATGCCAATCAAAAATCCTAATCAGGTACCTCTAATGTCCAGACTTAGATGTGGAGAAATAAGTATTTTATCCCTCTGTAAATGATGCCTTAGTGATACCACTTAGGAGTTAAGGGATCATTCTAAGCAGAGATGGATGTGTTCCTAAGAAGTAGAATGTTTGAACTGGGGTATTGGGTTTTAATTTTCAAACATATTTATCACAAATAATAAAAGGTCATTTTTGACATAATGTATCAAATACTTCCACACTGTGAAGCAAAAGTGATTTCCATACCTGTGGATACTCATTTATTCCCATCAAAAACAGGTGTGGTTGTCCTGAAAAAGATTTTGTCATTTATCGGCTTAATTTATCATCAGGTGTGATGTATAACTCTTAAGGGCTCTTGAGATTTTATGTCCTACAAAACATTTATATTCTTCCATATTGTATATAAGAAATAAAAACAGCACTGATAGCTTGAGCATCCTAAAAGCTGTCCTGAACAACACACTTTTAAAAACAATAATAAAAATTCCCCAAAGAAAATTTAGTGTGAAGAAAAGTAATTATTTCCAACCTGTGTTTTGGTTCTTAGTTAAATAAAAAACAGTTTACAGGCCGGGTGCTGGTGGCTCATGCCTGTAATCCTAGCACTTTGGGAGGCCAAGGCAGGCAGATAGCTTGAGCTCAAGAGTTCAAGACCAGTCTGGGCAACATGGTGAAATCCCATCTCTACAAAAAATACAAAAAAAAAAAAAAAAAATTAGCCAGGCCTGGTGGTGTACACCTATGGTCTCAGCTACTTGGGAGGATCTCTTGAGCCCAAGAGGTTGAGGCTGCAGTGAGCCCAGATCGTGCCACTGCACTTCAGCCTGGGCAACAGAGCCAGACCGTGTCTCCAAAAAAATACTGATTTTTTTTCCATCAGAGCTCTTTGCTTTTGTTTTACCACATAGAGGCATATGAGCTGGGCCCTGATAGATGAGAACAATTTCAGTGGGTTGAGCTGAGAAGGGACGAAACTCAAGATGATGAGAATGTGAAGTAAAGAAATGTAGTGTGATAGGCGGAGTCAAGGATTTGCTGTCAGGAGAGCTAGGTTTACGTTGATATACTGCTAATCATCAAAGTGACCTTGACAAGTTCTTTAACTTTCTGAGCCACAGTTTCATCCTCTGTGAAAAGTGAGAGATACTTTACAGGCATGTTGTTAAGATTAAGTGAAAAAAAAAAAATGCCTGTGCAAACATTTTCTATGCTGGCTATTATTGTTACTACTTTTTTTTTTTAAACTGTTGAAGCAAATTCCTAGTTTTAGAGTTACTTGAAATAGTTTCTCTCTGTGGTTATGACATTAACTAGATTTATATTTCAGTTAAATTGTTTCTTTTTATTTTTAGTGTTTAAGGGTTGCTTTAACAATTTTTTGTTTTGTAGTTTTAAAAACTGTTTCCAAAGTGAAATCTACAAAATGGCACATGTAGAGAACCTAGCTTCTGTTCTTGTTCCTTTCCCATTTCCTTCTTCCCTCTGTGGGTATTTTATGTGTTTTATGGGTTATTCATTTAAAAAAAATTTAGCAAGTAAATATTTGTCATATGTTCTTACCTCTTTGCTATAATCCAGCAGAGATAGAATTTCTTCTTTCCATAGCCCTGTAGCTATTTAAAGAATGCTGTCATTCATGCCTCATCCCGTTTTTAGGCCATACTTTTGTTGGTTCCTTCAAATATTTCTCACATGAATCAGTGGTGGTAATAAAAGTAGTAGTAGGCCAGGTGCAGTGGCTCATGCTTGTAATCCCAGGATGTTGGGAGGCTGAGGCAGGAGAATCGCTTGAGCCCAGAGTTCAAGACCAGCCTGGGCAACATAGTGAGACTCAGTCTCTGCAAAAAAATTTAAATAAGAAAAAGAAAAAAGCAGTAGTAGTAGCAGTAGCAGTTAACATATTTTTTGGTCCTTACAATGTGAGGTGGGTTTTATCTTTCCCTTTTCACACAACAAAGGAAGCGAGAACAAAAAAAGTTGTTACTTGCCCATAGTTTTACACAGCGAGTAAGTAGTGGAACCATAGTTTAACTTCCTACTTGGACTCCTAACTACTCTTGCTGCTCTTCTTACCTGGGGTATATTCTTGTCAGTTTTCTTTCCTGAACTCTATTGTTATTTTAATAAAATTTGTCTCATAGTACAGTATTCCACTGTGATCTAACAGGAACACATCTCCTCCTTCTTAAATGTCTGTACTCTATGGATTACTTTAATCTAAGGTCACATCAGTCTTTTTCACTGGTGACTGGATCACATTCCTATGAATGTTTAACGTGTTTTCCACTAAAAACTCTGAATTCCTTCCCCCTCCATGTGCTGCTTTTATCTCCAACTTTGCATCCTGCCCTTGTACATGGAAACTTCAATGAATTTAAGCCTGAGATAAATAAACATTGGTGTGTTTGATATAATCAGAGGTCTAAAAAAATTCAGACTGGTTGTGTTTTTTTGTGTGAATCTTTTCGATTCTGCTGTTTGATTACTTGAAACGTTACAGTAGCAAATATCCTTCTCATTTTGCTTGAAGTAAAAGCATCAAGATTTTGGGGGAATGCTATTAGTATTTTTTAAAAGAATTTTAAGGCAGTTTTAAGTTTTAATTTTAGGGCAGTATTAACTATAAAATTATTAAATGCTGAAAAATGATCAAATTTTACTTCTCTCTTTAAATTACATTTTTAAAACATTTTATACTTTGATTTAATAATGTAGCTACATTAATTTCTCTTTCTAATAAAACTCAGCATCAGTATTTAAGATTTCAGTGGCCCCCAATTTTTTAAATTATTTTGATTGCTTTCCTTTTTTAAATTCTTTAAAGAGAATTTTCAGTACTAGACAAATTTCAGCTATAGTTCATATTTTCCTATTTGTTGGTGTTTTGCTTGGTAGGTCTGGTTTCCCAAGAGTATTTAAACTTATTTCTTCAAATTCTTTGTTTTTTATTGAGTATATGCTTATCAATTCGAAAACGTCTCTGTTTAATTTTCCATCTCATGTCTTAATTCCAGAAGTGGTTTTAGTGTTGTTGAGGTTTGGGTTTTACTGGGGTTACAGGAAATGAGCATTCAGCTGGGGGTTGCCTTACTGACAAGTGTTCATGCTGGTTGTCCGTTTTCCACCCGGGTTTTCATAATATTTGTATTCTTGACTGTATTTTGCTGTCATTTTAGTGATTTAATGTTATTTTGATGATTAAGATTTAACCAGATCTTTGATTTAGTCCCAGAGACCTGAGCAAGACATTTTTTGACTGCTTATGTTAAGTCATTTGTTAGGTTCTTTAAATTGGCCATTTTGTGTTCTTTGTTTTTTTCTTCCTTTTTTGGCCACATGGTGGTTTAATCATCTTGTCTTATGTTTTAAATGTATAAATAATACAAGTTTTAGAAGTTCATACTGGAAAGGACCTAGAGCGTATCTAATTCATTTCTTTCACTTTAGAGATGAAGATGCTGATCCCACAGGCTCTTAGGCCTTTATAGTTTAGTGTGAGAGCTAGAATTTTAACATTTATTTGATTCAGTCAGGTGTTGCGTTTTTTTCCCCATTATTCTGTACCGCTCCCCCCTTTTTAATTTTGGATGTCAAGTTACTGATTGATTAAATAATTATTTCCAACCTGTGCAGATCTCGAGTCTCAGTTTCCCTGTTTCTAGAATGAGGATAATATTGCACTCCTAAAGCGTGTACTTAAAGGATCAGCTCTTACGTGGCCTCATTCAGCCACTTAAACTTTTCCCCTTCATACATACAGTGCTCAGTTTTCCTTGCTTTCCAGTTTTCACTTATACGCTACTTTCATTAGCCTTCTTGCAGCCTAGTCAGACCCAAGCTCACTTATCCTCTGAGGCTCATCTGAAATCCTGACTTCTCCATGAAACCTTCTCTAATTAGTCTAACCTTAAGAGTACTTCTTGATTGACACAACTCCTAAATGTTAAAGACTCCTTGACCCAGATCTGCTTGACTTCAAAGCTTGTGTAGCTTTGAAAACTACTCCCAAGTAGGAGTGATTTTAAAGTTTCAGTCCAGTTCAAATATTCAGCTTCCTCAATTTTTTAAAAGAATTAAGTGCTACATAATCTTTTATCTCTTTTAGTTTAAATACTCAAAGCACTTAAGTGCCCATTTGTATAATAACATGCTGAGGATTTGATGAAGTTATATATCAGCCAACAGTCTCTGCGTTTTAAAAGTTTGTCTCAACCAATACAGAAATAAGGATAAGATGTACAGATATAACACTATATGGATATTTCTATTTTGTATATGTTGGAAGCACAAAAATTCTTTTATCTAGAAATGTCACAATTTACTAGAAAATATATGGTAAAGGGCTAAACCAAAATGCCTACTCATTTTTTCTACCTCAGGGACTCTTATGATATGACAAGAACTATTTGGATTGTGTGGAAAATCACAAATCGGTTTATAATGTTGTATTCCACAAACACTGTGATTATTACAATAACAATCATGTTATGTCTGTTTTCACACACTGCCAAACTCAAGGTATACAGTATCTAGACAGTATATGGAATAATTAATAATTTGCTTAAAACCCAGTCCTTAACCATGGGTATTCATCACTCTGGATTTTAAACCTTCACATTTATATCTACTACAGTAATGTCTGGTGATAGAGTTGAGACCCTTGAGAGTTCAGTCCTTACAATTTTGCCTTTCCCTTGGGCAATCTTAAAGTTGAATTTTACAAAGTATCTCTTGAAAAAGCATTGGCTCTAGTCTAAGAGTAGAATTAAATTTAGCAGTTTTATTATCTTTGGGGCAAAGGATTCTTCCAGTGTTTTTAAACTCATTTTAAAGAAATGTAATAATTTTAACGTAAGCCTGGTCAGCTGGGTGAGGTGGCTCATACCTGTAATCCCAGTTCTTTTGGAGGCTGAGGTGAGAGGGGATCGCTTGAGCCTAGGAGTTTGAGACCAGCCTGGGGAACATGGTGAAGCCCATCTCTACAAAAAATACAAAAATTAGCCAGGTGTGATGGCACATGGCTAATTTGGGAGGCTAATCCCAGTACTTTGGGAGGCTGAAGTGGGAGAATCGGTTGAGCCTGGGAGGTTGAAGCTGCAGTGAGCTGTGATTGTACCACTTAATTCCTGCCTGGGTGACAGAGCGAGACCTTGTCTCAAAAAAAATTCTCCTCTCTAGCTTCTGTGTTTCTGAACATAGAGGATGTATTTGAAGATCTAGAGAGGAGCTGTTATAAAATCAAACACTTTAAAAATGAATTGCTCAGACCCAAGTATACATTACCCATTTTCTTTTCATTTAAGACTTACTGACTTTCTAAGATCTCTTCCTGCTGAGTTATTTTAGTGATATCTTCTCACAGGATTCTTGTGGGGATTTTAGTAGTTTTATTGCAGATCAATAATGGGGCCACATTTTGGGGGAGTGAAGGATGGGGAGGTGGGAATAAGACTATAATAATCAGAATTTTTGATATTGCAGCACTTTTCTAAAGACATGTTCTAATTTCAGTTGAGCTGTTTCATTTTATTTTTGGATGTGATCCTTCATTTCAGCCAAAATATTAAATACAAAGCAATGAAGTTGTTTAAAAAAAAGTTAAACCTTTTTCTGAATTATTTTATTGCTTTGTAATTTATAAGATTCTTGACATTAGTGGTGTTCACATTTGAGCTGTTATAACAGCTTGTTAATGATAGTCTTTCTAAGTTTTATTAATTGAAAATGGCCACAACATGATGATTTTACTGATTCACTTGTAATTCTCCCTTCCTTTGACAGGATATCTATAGAGAAATGGGGTTTGGTCACTATGAAGAAGAAGAAAGCTGTTGGGAGAAACAGAAGAGTGAGAAGAGAGACCGAACTCAGAACCAAAGTCGTAGCCGATCTCGAGAGAGGGATGGCCATTATAGTAATAGTCACAAATCCAAATACCAAACAGATCTTTACGAAAGAGAAAGGGGTAAAAAGAGAGACCGAAGCAGAAGTCCAAAGAAATCCAAAGATAAAGAAAAATCTAAGTACAGATGAAAGATGAAGAGGCAGAATCGAGTGGCTAACATATTTACTCTTGTCTAACTTAGAGTGCCAGGAAAGCAGATGCTTAGATTTTGTGTCAAAGCTTGTTATTTTTTTTTTCATACTAGGATTGTGGCCCTTTAGATTAATACTGATTATATAGGGCACTGAAAAATAAAGAACTGAACATTTTCTTTGTATACTTTTTTACACTAATTTTATTGTTAAACATAAATGGTAGTCTTCATTTTTGAAATCTTTTACATTTTCACTCTTTTTTTAATGAAGTATTTCATACTACAAAAATACATAAGCATGTATATATAAAGTAAAGGGATAATAGATGTAAATATCTGTGTCCTCATCAGCCAGCTTAAGATACAGAATATTGCCTCCATTTTAGAAGTCCCTTAAGTGTCCTCTCCCTCTCAAGTAATTATTTGGAATTTTGTGTTTGTCATTTGCTTATTATAGTTTTACAACATATGTATGTATCTGTAAATGAAGTGTTAATTTTGTATGTTTCTGGATTTTATATAAATGGCAAAATGTTTACTTCTGTGACTTTCTTTGATTTTTATTGCTATGTAGTATTATATGAATATACTACAGCTTTTCTCTTGATGGACATTTGAGTTCTGTTTATTTTTGCTATTGAAAAAATGCTGCTGTGAACATTGTCTAGGAATTATATTGTTCGATATGTTGATAAAATAATGCCAAATTCGATTCTGAAGTGGCTGTACTAGTTTATACCCCTCCTGGCACTGTGAGTTACCTTTGTTTCATAGCATCTCCAACACTTGTTAAGTTCAGACTTAAAAATTTGCCAACCTAGTGGATGTTAAGTGGTATCTTACTGTGATTTCCAGCAAGATTATTCTCTGTTCTTCCATGTGTAAGATGTCCTTTTTTTCCTGGCTGCTTTTAAGGTTTTCTCTCTGTCACTTTGTAAGCAGTTTGATATGTGCTTGATACTGTTTTTTTTTTTTTTTTTTTTTTTTTTTTTTTTTCGTGTTTCTTCTGCTTTAGCTATTTTACCTGTGGGTTTATGGTTTTCAAATTTGGGGGCATTTTTTTCTTCTGTTTTGTTCTTCTGTCTCTCTGCTCCTCTCATGCTTCTCCTGGGGCTCCGATGACTTGGATGTACGGTAGGCCCCTCAAAGTTGTCTCCCAGTGTGCTGATGCTCTGCTCAGCTTTTTAAAAAGCCTTTTTCTTGCTGTGTTTCATGTTGGGTAGTTTCCACTGCTGTGTCCTCATTGTTCATTAATCTTTCCTTCTGAAGTATCTAATTTCCTTTTTAATTGTATCCAGGTATTTTTTTTTTTTTTTTGAGACGGAGTTTCGCTCTTGTTACCGAGGCTGGAGTGCAATGGCGCGATCTCGGCTCACCGCAACCTCCGCCTCCTGGGTTCAGGCAATTCTCCTGCCTCAGCCTCCTGACTAGCTGGGAATACAGGCACATGCCAACATGTCCAGCTAATTTTTTGGATTTTTAGTAGAGACGGGGTTTCACCATGTTGACCAGGATGGTCTCGATCTCTCGACCTCGTGATCCACCTGCCTCGGCCTCCCAAAGTGCTGGGATTACAGGCTTGAGCCACCGCGCCTGGCCTGTATCCAGGTATTTTTCACCTCAGACATTTTAGTTTTTAGAAGCTGTGTCTGGGACATTATCTCTCATGTGTCTCCTTCACATGCTCATGCCTTCCTCTGTTTTTAACATTTGGAGTGTACTGGTAGTAGCTGTTTCAGTGTACTTGCACATTCTGTCATCTGCATCTTTTTGGGGGTCTGTTTCTAGTGATTGATTCTGACCCTAACCCATCCCCACCCTGCCCGTATTGGGTTGTAATTTCCTTCATTATGCGCCTGGTAATTTCTGTTTTTAACATTGAGTGCTTAAGTTCTTTTATTTAAGTATCTTGAACTCTGTCTGGGGACATAAAGTTACTTGGAAACAATCTGATCATTTGGTAGCTTGCTTTTCAGCTTAGTGAGACAGTTCCGGTACAGTTTAGTGCAAATTTGACCCACTGTGAAGGTCATACCGTTCTGAATAATCCTTCTGGTTACAAAGTTGGGAACATGAACTACTCTGAGCCCTATTGAGCTCCCAGTTGTATTTCTTGTTCCTTTGTGCTGGTTCTTCCCAGCCATGTGTAATTACCTCACATCCATACACCGCTTGGTGTTTAGCTGAAGACTCAAGAGAAACCCAATATTCTGTCCTGCAAATCTTACCTCGGCTATATAGTAGGTTGTCTTTTTATATTTAATAGATTGTGGATACTAAGAATAAGGGAGTTCTGTCTTTCTCTTTCTCTCCCTTTCTGTTCTCTTGGAAGAAAAGAAAAATATTTAAATTATCTGTTCCTTAAAAGCTGCATAGAGCTTGCCTATAAAATTGTCTGAACTTTGCATTTTTTGTGAGAAAAATTCTTCATTGATTAGGTTTCAAAAATTATAGAATTATTAGTCTTTCTATTTCTTTAGTGTTAGTCATTTTCATTACATTTTTCTGGGAATTTATTTTCAATGAAATTTTTAATTTTTTCATGGAGGTGCACATAGTTTAGCTGGTAGATTTTAGCTGATAGATTTTTACTGTCATTTTGCTTTGTTGAATGTTCTTATATTTTAGTGTGTCTCATAAATAGCATATAGCTAGATTATTATTATTTTTTGAGACAGAGTCTCGCTTTGTCGCCCAGGCTGGAGTGCAGTGGCGGAATCTCAGCTCATTGCAACATCTGCCTCCCGGGTTCAAGCAATTCTTCCATCTCAGCCTCCTGAGTAGCTGGGACTACAGGTAGCCACCACCATGCCTGGCTAATTTTTGTGTGTATATATATACATTTTTTTTTCTTCTAAATAGAGACTGGGTTTCACCATATTGGCCAGGCTGGTCTCAAACTTCTGACCTTGTGGTCCACCAGCCTCAGCCTCCCAAAGTGCTGGGATTACAGGGGCGAGCCACCGCACCTGGCTGATTATTTTTAAATTTAATCTGAACTTTAACTGGTGAGCTTATTTTTATGTTTATGGATGTATTTGGATTTATTTCTTACCACCTTATTTTGTGCTTTTTACGTTTTTTTTTTCATCCTTTTTTTTTCTTTTGAAATCAAAAAATTTTTAAAATTCTGCCCTCATTGCTCTGCCCCTCTTTGTTTTGGGGAATTGCTTTGGAATATTACATCCATACTTAAAAAGTGTAATGCTCTATCTTTACCCTCCTAATTGAAAGTCTTGGAACTCGCTAAGTCACCCCTTTTGCAACTTTTGTGTTACAACCATCTAGTATTTTAGTCATAGCTTATGATTTCTATCCTTAAAATTAGACCTTGAGCTGGACTCAGTGGTGCACACCTGTAGTTCCGGTTGCTGAATGGCTGAGGCAGGAGGATCCCTTGAGGGCGGGAGTTAGAGGCTGCAGTTCGCCATGACTGTGCCTGTGACCAGCCACTGCATTCCAGCCTGGGCAACATAGTGAGGAACCGTTTCTTAGAAAAAATATTAGACCTCTGATTGTTACTGCTTTTGTACAGATGATTTTTGGTTTACATTATATGTTGGAAGTGTTTCTTTACTCATTCTTGCGTCTCGGGCCTTTCACCTAGGATAATTTTCCTTCTTTCGGAAGCACATCCTTTGATGTTCCTCCAGTGACAGCTGTTGCTAACAAACTCTTAGTTTACATTTATCGAAAATGTTTTAAAGTCACTCATTCTATAAAGCTGATTTTATGTGTACATAATTCTAAATTGACAGGTTTTTTTTTTTTCCAGTACTTTGAAGAATCAGTCTACTGTCTTTACTTTTGTTACTAACGGGGAGAAATCTTTTGTCATTCCAAATGTCATTCTTTTGGATATAATGTGACTTCTTTCTGATTGCTTTTTTGCTGTTAATTAAACTTTCAATTTTGAAGTCAGTTGGAGATTGGCGTGCAATCGTAAGAAATAATACAGAGAGAACCTGTGTACCCTTTGCCTACTTTCTCCCAGTGATATCATCTTGTAAAATTCTAGTACAGTATTAACCTAGATGCCGACATGGACACGGTGGAGATACAGAATGTTTCCATCACCACCAGCACCCCTCTTGCCATCCTTTTATAGGCACATCTATTTCCCTGCCACTTCTGTTTTCTTCTTCACTGCTGTCAACCACTGATCTATTCTCCATTTCTATAATTATGTCTTTTCAAGGATTTCATATAAGTGGAATTCTATATTATGTAGCCTTTTGAGGGAGCCAATCATAATTCTGTAGTACATAAATGCCATAATCATGAAGGTTGAAATCCTGAAAATCAATCCAAAATATATAATTCTGGAAAGAATAATTTTAAAACTCTTTAAAAGATACTTATTTACTTTTTTTTTTTTTTTTTTTTTTGAGACAGAGTCTTTCTCTGTCACTCAGGCTGGAGTGCAGTGGCGCGATCTCAGCTTACTGCAACTTCTACCTCCCAGTTTCAAGTGATTCTTCTGCCTCAGCCTCCCCAAGTAGCTGGGACTACAGGTGTGCGCCACCGTGCCTGACTAAGTTTTGTATTTTTAGTAGAGACAGGTTTCACCATGTTGGCCAGGCTGGTCTTGAACTCCTGACCTCAGGTTATTTACATTTGTAAAAAAGGATTTATTTGAGAAATACTAACACATGACAAAACACAGGCCACTTTACACAATAAAATAGGCAATAATTACTTATTTTTGCAAGCATAACCAATTCTTCGCCCTACTAATGACAGTCACATGGGTATAGATGAATCGTGTTTATAAAGAAATAGGTCAAAAAGGGAAATGTATCAATGCATAGCCTGATGGTTGGTAATTGTGTACACTCAGTTTTGTAACTGCAGTCATCTGAAATACTTTAAGAACAACCAGTGTCTTCCACGGGTTTCACTCAGATGCTAATCTCTGGAAACGCTTGCACAGACACACTCAAAATCGTAACAAGTTTCTAGGTATTGCTTAATCCAGTCTACTTGATGCCTAAAATTACCTCTTATCAACTTGGCACCCATACATACCTCCTTAAACCATACTTAATTTCCAAATAAAGACAGTGAGAAAGTTGTAGTTCTACCTAACACAATGCCAGTATCCTGTGATTGTGATTTTTGGAATTTTAGACGTTATGGATTTTAGATCAGGCACTTCGATCTTGGGATTTTCACCATGCAGGATTAAATGTTCGGGTTTGTGTCTTACAGGATTATAAACCAAACCTCTTTTTGGGATTGGCTTTGTTTTGCTGCAGTCAGCCTTATTCTTCAGAGATTCTCCCAGGTTGTTGCTGGATCAATAGCTCACTTTTATTTTATTTTGTTTTATTCATTTATTTGGGATGGAGTCTGGTTGCTCAGGGTGGAGTGCAGTGGCATGATCTCAGCTTACTGCAACCTCTGCCTCTTGGGTTTGAGTGATTCTCCTGCCTCAGCCTCCTGAGTAGCTGGGATTACAGGAATGTGACACCACACCCAGCTACTTTTGTATCCTTAGTAGAGGTGGGGTTTCTCCGTGTTGGTCAGGCTGGTCTTGAACTCCAGACCTCAGCTGATCCACCTGCCTCAGCCTCCCAAAGTGCTGGGATTACAGGAGTGAGTCATTGCACCCGGCCTGTATTTAATTGGTAATGTTGAGTGTCTTTTCATGCATTCATTTTGCCATCTGCCTATCCTGTTTGGTGATAAGTTATTTTACATCTAATT